GATTTTTCTTTAATTTTTAATAAATTAATATAATTAATTTTTTTATATATTAAAATAAATTTATAATTACGTATTATTTTAATAATATTTTATTTTATTATTTTTTTATATATATATCCCACGAATTATAATTTTTTAATAATAATTTTTTTAATATTATAAAAATATTTTATTAAAAACATTTATTTAATTTAAATAATTTTATTAATATAATTTTTATTAATAAATTTAATTTTATTAAATATTATAATAAAATTAAAAAAAAAATTAACCTTTAAAAATATTTAAATTAAATTTAAAATAATAAAAAATTAATTAATTAATAAACTTAAAACTTTAACACACTTTAAAATTTAAAAAAATAAAAAAAATTTAATGTTTATATTTTTTAAAAATAAAAAGTTAATTAATTTAAAATACCATTTATAATTTTTTATTATAATTAATAAAATAAAATTTTTAAAAATAATTAAATTTTTTATTATTTAAATAACTTTTAAATTAATAACGTAAACTTTTATAAACATTAAATTAAAATTAACATTATAAAAATTAAAAATTAAATTTTTAAAACTTTAATTTAAAAAAATAAAATTTAAAAAAAAAAAAAATTTTTAATTTAAATATTAAATTTTTAATAATTTATAAAATATTTAATAAAAAATTTAAAACATTTAAAAAAACTTTTATAATAAATTAAATAATTTTAAATTAAAATTTAAATAAAAATAATAAAAACGATAAAAAAAAATTCGAAATAAATAATATAAAAATAAATAAAACTTTTATAATATTAATTCGTATACGTTTAAAAAAAAATAATTAAACCATTAATTAAATTTATAAATTAAGCTTTTAAAACGTTATTTACTAATATTAATTTTATAATTATTAAATTTTAATTAACTTAGATATAAGCACTTGAAAAATATATGTTTTAATGAAAAACGGGGTGGCCTGGGGGGGTGTGGCCCGTGGGTGGGTCCCCCATGGTACTCGATCAATGAGTTGATTATTTTCAGTGGTAGGTTCACCAGCATTGCTATGCTTCCTGGAATGCCATTTACTTTAATTATTATATCTCAACGACTGATGGTCCAACAGTGTTATTCCAAGGTTATGTGGTATAATGTTAAAAAATGCAGGGGAATATTTTACATACCTAGTGAAGCTTTAGAAAAAGGTGTACGGATAGTAGTTTGGTAGGTACAGGTATGTACCTATGGTTCTCTTCTTGTGTCCGAGTTTGTATAGGCTTGAACTACGAGTGATTTTCCAAGAAATCCTAACAAACGTATATACCATTGAAGGTACCTAACTTGATATTGTTAACGCGCAACATTAACAAGATTAGCTCACATAAGATCGGTATGTAGGTATAGTTCTAAGTTGAAAGCGGCAACAAAACTGTGAAGCCTAAGACTTATAAAAATTTCTGGGCTTTTGATAGAAAATGATATCGATGCCATCTAGGATTTGAATAGAATCTTGCTTCCGCCCAAAGGAAAAGGGTGAGTTTTTTTATGTGAACAAAAAGAATGTAAGCTACACTAAGCAAGTGACTTTCATCTGATTACCTAGGTACATATAATGGAAGTTAAATAGATATAGCTACATCATTTACTTTGGAATTATCGCATAAACATATTCGCCAAAGGCTTTCGTTGTAACTATTCAAGCCTACATATATTCAATGAGAAAAAATATCGCCAGTTTTCCTTCAACGACTATATGTGACTAACGTCGTATTTATGTTAGACACCTGATAGGTTTCTATAGAACATGGCCCTCGTCGAGAAGCGAGCGCGGTCAACCATGGAAGTTACCCGCATGTTAATGAATCTTGATTGAATCTCTAACTTACATACCGTACCAAAGAATGGCTGATTCAGAGACTATGAATATATCCTTAACCTTCGTATCACGCTCTTACAACTATCACCAATAGGTCTTCGTACATGACGGGGGAAGAAAGAAAGACAGACAGAGAGAGAGCCTGGGTTATAACAGTGTATACTCATTGAGTAGATGTGACTGCTGGTCCTGTTCTAATCACCCAGCCGTGACGGAATTATACCTTACACATATGTTGGTTGACATGGCTAACATCTACGGGGTGACTAGGGGATGGCGGCTAATGCTTCCTCGGGTGATTAATTGCGGCAGAGTTGCCCGATTGCTAATAGAGTAGTCATCGTCATTGCCACAAACTCGAGCGAGTTTTGTTAGTGTATGAGGTCACGACTGATGCATCGCCAAGAGCGATTCTACTGGTGGCGTTGTAAGGAGATTGATGCCCTTAACTAGGCAATAGAGGTGACGTGTAGTCAAGAAGAGATGGCTTTGACTCGAAGGAAGGGAGTTGAATAGGCCTTTGATGAAGTGTCTAGCGTGGCTGAGAGACTTGGCGAAGAATATAATATAGAAAAATACCCAAGTTAGAAATCAAGGTCCCGCTTCAGCCGTTAGATCTAACGACTTGTATGAAGTGGATTCCACATACGTCTCGTAGCCGAGCTGTAGGAAAACGGCAGATGACTTGAAGAAGGCGAGGGAGTGTAAGATAGTTAGTTAGCTCTGCAGTTAGTTACCTCTTAGACAGTCAACGGTTGAGGATACGAGATGCGTTTTTCGGATTCCGGATTCCAAAGCCTCAGCCACGACAGCAATCTATTTGTCTTTGAATTAATTTATCTTGTGCATGATGGCGAGCATCTGCAAGCATCAACAGACATGGACCGGGGAAAATGGATCATGAGAATCCATGAGAATCGGATGTTGTGCAGGGCTTAGCGATGCATTGGGCGTTTATGAGAAGCAAATATATAAAATCTATCAGATGATTCGACGACAGAGGATCTCATGGGGGCTTCATGGGGCTTCTGTCAGAGGAAAATAATCTAGATCGGAGAAGAGTTTAAGGAATAGATTTACATATGTACATAGTAGGATGCAAATAAATATACATAGACATGATGATACAGTAATCTTTGTTTTTGGGCTGGTTACCGTTTAGGTAGCACTAAAGGCGTCTGTCACTTGCGCTTCCCATTGGTGTGTTTAGTGCGGCCAGTGCAGTTTCCATTAGAGATTACAGTTCGCTGTCGTTTCCATGTTTTGTGACGCGTACGTCATCTATCTTGGTACCTAAGTATAAGGCCTCCCATGGGTTTTGCCCAATGTCTTCAATGTTCTAAGTTCAAATGTTGATTCGTCCTCGATTCAAGATACCTGCCGATACATAATCCGGAACCGATGCCGAAAGCTCGTTAAAATACATACACCTATATGTAGGTCGGTACCTAAAGGGTACGAACGTTTTCAAGGGTTCTAACGGTTCCAAGGTTTCCAATGTTTGTGTATGCAGCTTGCATGTTACGATGTTACCCCATTACCATTATTTGTAAAACCAGAGCCATTACAGGGTCGCTTGCGGTTCTTGGGTCCTTGTAACTCCAGTCTAGTCCCTATATTGCATAGTAGTCCCTGCCGAACGGCCAAGGCGTCTGCCAAGACTAGCTAGACCGCCAAGGATTAGACCCAACCTCAAGCTTCAGCATTCTCCATAGGATGTTACCTATACTCTGTATGTACATATAATACCTTTACTATACCACATCCATCCTTACATTACACTTTAGCAGTTGGCCTGTCAGTGTCAATTTGATTGAAGAAGAGAATATTGAAATGCTTAGCTTTAACTTCACGTGATTTAACTTACCATTCATGCCCCTTCCCACCTAAGTCAAGTTCACTGATCCCCACGAATGTTGATTTGATTCCACATTTCTTCGAACCCTAACCTTGCTGATTGTACCACCTGAGCAATATTACATATGTACGTGGGGAGGTATTTTCATGCCGGTTTTTACCTCTCTGGGTACTCCGTCATTATCTAAGATAGAGGTACCCTTTCGACAGGGGGCCTCGACACCAATTGCCCAATGCCTGATCGTCGAATCAACCTACCCTTGCCGTTTCTGCAAAAAACATGTCCTATGCGTGCATACCATCTTACCAAACCAAGTCAACGAGAAAAGAAAGTAAAACAGGAAAGAAGCGGGTTTTAAGAAAATAAAAAATACCTATACTTATACCTACCTATACATCTCATACGTACATACCTATTGTATATACATAAGGAAGGAACTGCATACACTAAAAAGTAAGAATTCAAGATAAAAATACAATAAAAATAAAATAAGAAAATTAAACGGCCAACACACATCAACGCACGTACACTTTTACCTCACTTTACCTGGCTCCTCTCACCCATTCTCTCTGTCCCTTCTCTTCCTCGAAAATCTCACATAACTCATTACTTCACTCACACTCTCACACAGCAACATGTCACCAACACGTTGACGAAGCCGACACACCGCAGGTGACCCCGTCCATGGCGACACAAACCGGGACAACGCACATTGCATTACATATGTAGACGACAGGAATGCCATCCTTGGTTTCCGGTCAAGTTCGCCGCATCTCCCGCATGGTAATCTTGCTTTGAATACTTGATACTTTGACACGGATCCGTACACATACATCGATTCCTATTGATGATGCTGATACCCATACCTAAGTTTATGGGATGCTGATGTCGATGCCAATGCCGATAATTCCCCATGTTGGTGCAGTTACGGGACGCTGATGTTGATGTTGTTGCCGGGTTCTGCTAGTACTGCTACTGCTACCGCCGCTACTGTTGCCGTTGCCGTTGCCGTTGCTGGCTGGTTATTGATGTAGATGCCGACGCTTTCTATGTAGTCGCGTCTCATCCATTACCCATCATCGTCATCATCACCATTATCACTATTATCATTGTCGTTACCATCATCTGGGAATTATCTCTAATCCCATCTCCATTCCTATTCTCATCTCACCATTACATTATCTGAACTCGACTACCGTCCTCCGTCCAATCTCGGCCTTCTTGATATTGTCGTCATCTATCATCCGTCTCCCTGCTCTCTATCCGCCTTCCTCCTTCTTTACCTACTTACTCTATTATTACTCTTACTCCTGGGTACACTTACTACTTTCATCTTTTATTTTACTTTCTCACCTCTTCTTCAACTTTGGGAAAAACAGGGCCCCGGCTAGCCCGGACGTCCGTCTGATCGTCTTAAAAGTTTCTTTTTCTTTTTACCCTCTTTTTTTCCTCTTCTCTTTCCCCTTCTTGAACATAACGGTACCTCGAATTACTTTAATACTATTTTTATTTTATTTTTATATTTTTATTTTTACTATTACTTCCTATTATATCTTACTTTATTTTTTTATCCATATTATTCTTTTCTTATTTCTGTTCCTATTACAATTATTTTCCTACTATTACTTTTTCCCTTCTCTCACCCCACCCCCCACCATAAAACCTGGGAGCTCTTCTCTTATACCATCCCTCTTCCACTTTGGAAACTCTCGGACGAGTTTACTGGTTAAGGGGCCCGCCATGCTGCCTTCGCCGTCGGCCGGCCTTAGTAACATACAGCCCCCATCAACGGCCACTGCCACGGGCTCAACCACCATTACTAGTACCACTACCTCAGCTCCCCCCGTACCTGGTCCTGGCCCTGCAGCACCGACAGGGGCAACAGGCGCAACATTGAAGCGACCAGCTGCAGCCGACTTGCAGCGCAGTGCCGGCACAAGCGCCACTCCTTCAAAAAGACAAGCAACATCCAGTACCAGAGCGAATCCGATCCCAAATCCAAGCCCCTTGGCTGCTGCTTCTGCTGCCGCTGCTCCTTCGTCTTCAGTTTCGGCCACTCCGACTACGACCGCAACCCAATCCTATCTTCAACCTCACGCTGTCATGTCCCTACCTGCCGTCGTCACCGAAGAACAGCTACTAGGCAGGTCACCCGAACAATTGATCGCCACCATTCTACAGATTCAGATGCAACACCAACACTATGTCGCCCATATATCCTCCCAATTCGACACTATCAGCCAACAGCTAAATGACCTCCGTGGAAGTTTAGTAGCTTCCCATCACGCTGCAGCATCCGTATGTCTATCGCTTCGAAATTTAACTTGTTCTTCCCCCCCGGGACAATGAAGACAAAAAGTATCAGTGTAGTTTATATTAAATGCTGACGAGTGTGTTCCTCTAGGCTTTTACTTCTCGAGACCCCTCCGTGCGGCCCATCATCCCTCCGCCACCCCAGCAGCAGTCGGCTACTCCGTATCCTCGGGGACCGCCGGTGCCTATTCAAACGCCAAGCCGCCCTGCTAGACCTCCTCCGGCTTCCCCTTCTACTTCTTCTCAACCCGTTCAATCTAGACCATCTGTACAGACGCCGCAATCCGCAGGGCCTCCCCAATATAAATACGGAACTGTCTCCTCGGTTGAGGAGGTTTGGAGGGAGTATCGCGAGGGAATGGACGGTCAACCTGCCATTGAAGATCTAGACGCCACGTGGGGCTCACGCTGGCGGCCTGAGCCGCGGGGTCGCACGTGGTACTCGAGAAGAAAGGTCATCTGGGACAAGATCAAGGAATTCATGGCCGAGGGCTTAGAAGAAGACGATGCAGTGAGGGAGGTGGAGAAGCTACGTGACGGCAACACGATCAACAAATTAATTCGAATGCTCCAAGACGAACGAAAGGAGAAGGGGTTAGGGGATGAGAGCCTGGCTGCTTAGGACAGCTGCAAACTACTTGATTCGGGACCGGCGTTATTAGGAGAGCGGTATGATACCACACGTCATATATGAGAGGCTGCATTTACGGGTCTAGTCGCGAGGGGGCCGCGATAGCGGAATCGGCATATCATTATGGTCACGGGAGAATCTCCCGTTAGGATCTATTACAGCATGTTCATTGTTCACTGGTTGAACGAAAGGAATGCCCGAGGCTGGCGTCTAGGCAAAGATACGTGGTAATGAGAGATCATCACGATGACTTTTTTGTTGGCGTTAGACGGGAACTTGGGAACATGGCATTACTTCGATTATAGGTACCTAGTCTACCAAGCTATTGCACAGGATATGCCCTCGAAGCACCTTGTCGGCCGTGGAACTGTTGACAACATCCGCTCGCTGGCCCCTCCTCGCTCGGTATAACGTATTTGGGACGTATATTTGACGGAATAAATCCCGGTCAAACCCGGCAAAGGTCCCTCCAAGGCAGAGTAATAGTTCTTATCGTACGGTCACACGCCTCTCGTTAGGTATCCCCAACTGGTACATTTGGGAGGAACCGAAGGCTCGGTGCTTCGGTATGCCTAGGATGGGGAGTCTCCATCGCGGATCTCATCTACCAAGCTCTTTATAGTCGGCAGTGCAAAGATCCACCAGAACGGCATAGGTCGGTTACACAAAAGCCGCAAAATGCAGAGTTGTTATGAACTACCTGATTGGTGCATCGGTCGTCACAGTAAGCTCATGGGTTGAGCCAGACCCTAGCTACCTCAAAAAGAAGCCGTATATCCGAGCCCGCCAGAAAATATATTGCCGTCGTCTTGATATGTTGAGACCAGTCGGGAAATAACGACGATGTTCGCCAGCTCAATTCACCTAGTCTATGTCGACATCACCAAAGAGCGGCCTCTGAACGGTTAAAGTGATTTGCCTACTCAGCCGCATACCACTACGCTACCTACCTAGTTAAATATTCGTTGTCACTTAAGGTCTACCGAGCTACTTCTCATTCTGTCGACCGAGTCACAGTTGAGATGGGCGAGCTGGTTTTACTTTAGAGCCTTGGCGTGATGGTCTACCCGGATGGGCCAGTGTAACCGCCGAACTCCAATGTGTTGACTTACCACATCAATGCCAAGTGACGGCGAAGATGAGGGTATGATACGAGACCCAATATCGGTAGTTGAGTTCGATTGACGTTCAAGAAGAGGAGAGCTCTGGAGAGGACGACCTCCTGGATATGCTTGTTTTACAGTTTGGTATTTTTGTGCTATTCTCGCGGACAATTGAAAGAAAGCCGTGTAGTTGAACAATGTTCGACATGAAACAAAGAACCTGTTCGGGCACAATATTATTGTTAAATGACAATGAAGACTTTGGAAAACGGCTTTAACAAATGCTATCGCGTTATAGAAGACAAAGGGACATATATAGGTCGAAGTTGGACATTTCTGCTTTGCTCACTGCTCGATCTAGAATAAGTAAGATGTTCAAAACGCCGGGTCTATAAATCGCATCGTGTACTCGAAGGAAGGTGGTTGTCAGGCTTCGTCTACCATCATCTTGATAGCGTATTCATACTTACTACATACCTACTCAACCACTCTCCAACGGCCACAGTATCTTCGAAATAGAAACATATTCAAGATGTGTTTCGATTTGTACGTCCACAACACTGCTCGCGAACATGATACACGGCATCTAAGTATCATTAATCCAGTCACAGGCTACACGGTTTATAGCCCCTGGCAAGATCCTTACATGAGCCCACCCTGTGATTATCCTCACATACTCGAACCAATTCCTCCTCACCAGTCTTGCCCCTTTCACCCTCGATGTTGTCGACTCCAGAGACACTTTGTATGTCGATTCAAGGATGGGAGTTGCCAGACGCAAGTTAAGTATCACCATTTTGTCGACGAAGCGAGTGGCGAGACTAACAACACCTCCTTTCTAAGTGCGTACTTCGGGTACAATCCATCCCTACTTTCCCTCGCGGGCTGGTTTTTCAAGGCTGGAGTAGAATTCGCACTTGCTGATAAGTACCGGAGTCAGATATCGCAACGCCTTGCCGGAATGGTGGAGCGTGATAATGGCCAAGCCCGTGATATGATGGACCTTACCGAACGAACGGACCTCGAGGCACGGTATTCACACTTGACCTACGTTATAAATTGCTCTAGGCAGGTGCTCGGTCAATTCGCTATGCTCTGGGATCTAAACACTGGCCCCGGTGGGTTGCCTCCCCGTCCGGGTGGTAATCCGAACCCCGAATTTAATGCGCCGCTGTCACGGAGACTAAACCTCAGAACGCATGGATGGGTTAAGAGAGACGACAGCCCATTTTATTGGCCACAGTTGATTCAGCTTTGGCCAAATTTCGAGGCTGGGTTCCTTCCTTTCGGCGATGACCCTTCGGTTGTGCATTTTGGGAGCACGACGATGGAAAGCCAGATAGATTTAAATCCCATGAATGATGTGAACTCGTCGAACCCGGATGTAGAGCTAGAGGGACAAACTCCCCACGGCGTCTTAAATCATGATATGCTAGTCGTTCCTCCCGCCTCTCCCTTTCCCGGTAATGTTGAGGAATTATTGGATATCAAAGATTGCATTACGGTAGCCAACACTCCCGCTTCGCTGACATCGTCTCCACTTTCGTCTCTTCCTAGTGAACTGGACTTCGATTCGGACTTCGAATACACTGGTGACAAGAACAACAAGGAATAATAAATAGAAGAGTAGAAACATAGCCATTTGACTCTATTGATCATGAAACCTAAGGGTTAGTTAGGAACTGTGAGAAGGCGAAGGGTTGCGAAATACAAAGAGGGAATTTTATCGAGGAAGCGATAATTACAAGCCGTTAAATAATCATCGGCTGCGAATTTTGTGGTAGATTGGTTATATTTAGTACCTAATTAAAAATCATAGTCTTGCTCAAGCATCTTATATATTGCAGTTTCTCTTCTCATGCCTGTCGTAGAGTCGTGCGCCTTCTCACAATCAGTAAATCGCTTAGAAACCATACTTAGTACCTATTTTTGTAGAATAGCTACCTACCGAAACTAAATACAAATTGAACCTCTTGAAAATAGCTTAATGCTTGCTTAATATATATATATTCATATTATTTCGTAATTCAAAGTAGCCTTTATTGTGTGGCCGCTACTAGCCGAACCCCTATTCATTGCCCCTGAATACGCAACCATTAAGGTGTCTTAGCTTTAAGAGGCGAAGCCGCCTCCATAAAATAGGAAAATGCAATATAAGCACCTAGCATCTCTCTGGAATATGTACACGTAGGTAAGTTTCTATCGAATGGGTTTATTTTCTAATTTGGTTGTAATCCGTTTTAGCCTGGTGGTTAATGTCACCAAAAACATATCCGATCTGGGAAAAGCCAAGCCTCATCTCCGTGGCTAGAACCCATAGAAGGTTGAGGTTAGACCATAAAAGCGGTGATCGTCGCTCTGGGTCTTTCCAACAGATTTTAAGCCTTACATGTAATTAACTGACATCTAAGACGTTTACAGCTATTGGGAGCGATGAAATCAATCAGCTTGACTGTCATTCCACTGTGGTGGGCTCTCGAGGCTACCGCCGCTCCGACGCGGGTGCTTGCTTCGCCGCCGGCTGAATTCACGCCCAACACCAAGGTCGGTCCTGGTGGGAATAGGTACAAAGACTCACCGCATTTTCGCGTCTACGATGCAGCAAACGACGACGTTGCGAACACCTTACTCCAGACTCTGGAATCCGCCTATGACTGCTTTGTAGTTGGTCAGGGCTGGCGTTCAACTGGTTTATCGTTCAATCAGGATACAGATGATGGGCCGTGGTACAAGATGAACGTTTACGACGTGGCTGACCTTGGAGCCAACACTGCTGCAAACACTGGAACGGACAGTGCTACGGGACTAAGTTTCTTGAACGTCGTCACGCAATGGATGAACACTCCTTCTATAACCGTTCAGTATGTAATACCGAGACTTCTTTTCCCCCCTTCTGGCCTGATTCGGGAGCAAAAACTTTTTAGTCTAGCTGATCAAGGAAGATTTACTTCCTGGACAAGCTTAAGACTCCTAGAAATCTCTCTGACTCTCGATATTTTAGTGAGTTCGGGCACGCCTTGACTTACGCTGAGAGGTACTGGATCGACCAGGGACGGACTGGAGCTTGGTGGGAAACGGTAGCCAACTTTGTTGCTGATACGTTCATCACTTCTTCGATATGCGAGGACTCTAGGAGCCGTTATAGTCAACCTAGTGGTGATACTCTAATGAATCTTCAGAAAGTCATTGGCGATTCGTATCAAGTTATCGTAGACGGATCAAGGGGAACCGGAAACTACTACGAGGCGTGGCCATTTCTGACTTATATCACGAACAACCCAGACAACTACTCGGGGTTGGGCATGGCCAACTTTCCGGATGTGTGGCGGAAGTATAAACGGGACAGCAACGAGACACCTCTGCACGTCCTAGACCAGCTTGCTGCACCCACCAAGATCCAAACCATCGTCGGCCGTTACTGGGCTCGGATGGCATATGTCGATATTGGACACGAGAAAGCCAGAGCTCTATTTGAGAGGCAAAAGGGAGAGTTTAACTATGCCAACCTAGATTCGCTAGGTGGAGGGAAATACCGAGTCAAAGCTGCTCGGCAGCCTCGTTACATGGGTGCCAACATCATCCCTCTCAAGGCGACGAGCGCGTCGATCAGCATTGCTATAACTGCCACGGCTCCATACACGGCATCTCTAGCAATCAAGGCGTCAGATGGGGCAGTCCGGTACGTTGATGTGGCGGATAACAAGGCCGAAGCGCCACTGGCTAGCGGAGAGAAAGCTACTCTGGTGGTTGTTAACACACCGGACTCTCTGTATCTTTACGACCCTTTCTCGCTTACCAGTGATGTAAGCCGAGGTTTAGATTACCAGGTGCAGCTCATGGGGGCGAGCGTGTAGATTCGTGTTATGACACCAAGGAAGAGTTGAAATACAAGTCATTATGGCGTCGACACTTCTGAGAATTATCATATGAAGGCTTGTGAATGTGAGTCAGGGCTACGTTTCTATGGATGCGTAACGGGTCTTGTATGCTGGGTAGTGTCCTGGGCAACGAGAGTCATAAACCCTCTACAGACCTTAGAAACACGACAAGACCAAGGGCGTCACTACTCGTAGATTTTCATTAGTCTCAACAATCTAATTTACCGATTATCAATGAAGAGCCTCTCTTGCTCCGATATGCAAGAACGGTCAATCTCCTAGCAATTAATGACCTTAGTTTCAAGAAATCTCCAGAAAGGGATTTTGTTCGGTTACACCTTGAAACAATAGTTATAATGGGATAAATTTCGACACTCGAGATCAAATCCAACATGGAATAGGTACAACGTAGGATTCGAATCCTACCTATTACCTGCATGATGCAGGGTTGCAAGCTCCCCCTGCGGCTGACATCCCTAGCAAGTCAGGGCAGCAGCCCCTGTGTCAGAAGGAGGGCGAACATCGTTCTTCAGCTTCAACGACAGCAACTCCCCGAAAATTTAATCAAACCATATCAATATGGACTCATGTGCTACTTGCCGAAACCTGGAGCCTCTACCGGGCTTATCTGGTGGTTTCATCACTGGGGGTACGGGTTACGACTTACAGAACTCCGCACCTACTTGCGAGCTCTGTTCGATTCTCTGGGAAGGCCTGGGAGCGTTTTGCTTAGACAGTCCCGGAACAGTCCAATGGATGGCACTTCTTCAAGCAGAAGACTCGTTTCGCCTTAATTATAAGTATAAAGAGTCTCCGGTCGAAAAAGAATGGATAGGACTCCATTTCTACACGAAAGACTGTAGGGCATACCCTTCATTTGCTCATACATACTTGTACACTAATGCTATGTATCAGCACGAGATCCGCTGTCCAACATTTTCTTGCCTAGCAACGATCTTGAACCGGACACGTCAAGTGAGAAATACATCTCACAGATGAAAGACTGGGTTAACGCTTGCGATAATGGGCATGATACCTGCAAGAGGAATTTGAGCAACAACTATCTTCCAACAAGGGTACTGGATGTTTCGCGCGAGCCGTACCAAATTTTCCTACACGAGCCAGGCAAAAGTGATCGAGGCCCCTATATAGCACTGAGCCACTGCTGGGGAGGCGTAGTTCCTATTATGACAAGGACGGAGACTCTCGGAAAATTCAAAAAGGGGATCCCAATTGAGTCATTCCCCAAAACATTCCAGGACGCAATATTCATCACGCGTCAGCTACAGTGTCGTTACCTCTGGATCGACTCTTTGTGTATTGTCCAAGACAGTGCCGAAGATTGGAGGGATGAAGCATCACGCATGGCGAATGTATACGGAAATGCCTACATCACTATTTTGGCTACTGCATCCCTCGATAGTCGCGGTGGTTTATTCCATCAGCACGACCCGCTAGATGCCAAACATGTAATCAAGCGTACCACCGAAAAAGGAGAGGCCATAATAGTGGAAGTACGCCCGGCTCTGGAACATGAGCCGTATTTCGCTAGTAGTCCCTACGGCCTAGAATCCTCGGTGCAAGCCCCTTTGCTTGAGAGGTCCTGGTGTTACCAAGGTTGGCTATCCTATTGTTATCCTATATTTTACCCTATTTACGCAGCTGATTAACGAAAGTACAGAATATCTTCTAGCACCCCGCGTCTTGTCATTCACTCAATGGGAGATGCTCTGGTTATGCCTCACCAAAAGGTTGTGTAACTGCGGCGAGTATAACGAGAGCACACGTGAAATTGTCGCCTCGAGTGACATCAAGGCTAGGTTTGACGAGCAGCTCCGTGGCACTTCTTCCCCAGACAAATTGTATCGACTCTGGCAAGATATCGTTGAACCATATCTACAAAAGGGGTTAACCTACGACGGGGACAGACTTCCTGCCTTGGCCGGAATCGCACACCTTTTCTCTGAAAGGGGACTTGGCCGATATGTGAATGGTCTTTGGGAGCCAACCCTTGTTCCTGATCTATTCTGGTCAATCAATTCGGCATTCGGAGATTACCATGGCATCGTTGCAAAACGTAGCACAGACCAAGCGATACCGTCGTGGTCGTGGGCGGCCGTGTCTGGCTCATTCTACTATCCCCCATTCACACGTGTGTTTAAGGGTATCGAGGTCCTTGATATCTCGTACGAGCCCATGATATCAAACCCGCTGGCAGAAATCTGCGCCAAGGCTATTACTATACGTGGCAACTTAGTCCAGGTTCTTGCATGGGGCGGAGAGGAAAATGCAGCCCACCACCGACGGAGGTGTCGAGTCCCGGGGATGCGAGAGGCGAAGGAGCACTACTGGCACGTAGATGTTGCGCCAGAAGTTTCTTGCAGCGCCGATAATCCTATGGACGCTTACATCTTTGGCGGTAGAGCGGGTCCGGCATTGGTTCTTCACCGTGTCGAAGGAACAGCATCCACCTATCGACGACTAGGGACGATAGAAGAATGGAGTAAGCCGGATGAGTCTTATCCTCAAACGATTCGATTGGTATGATGCAGGACTTGCAATGAAATGGGCAATTTCGCCGTTTATATATGGAACTATGTAAGTCTGGGGACAATGCTTCTCAGGTAACAGATTTCAGGGATGGAACCCGAGAGTTCAGAATTGTTTGATATAAGATAATGATAGCATTATAATTAAATAAATAGCTCCACTCTGTACAATTTCTCGTAAAGGCCTACCGTAGGGACAAGATCAGGAGGGATTCTGGTGTATTAAATCAGAAAATCGTCTCTTAATGCATCGAGAACCTACTTTGGCGTTTACTAGGTATCATTCGAATCTAACGAAGCGGATTGGACTGAGTAAGCCATATATCTCAGCTAGTCCCTATCATCTAAATTGAAAGCATATATAATATGAAGCATTAAACCAAGATACGTGAATTTGATTGGTGCGTTTGTCATCTAGGCCTCAGCCGGCAATATGGGTAGAACGAAAATATATTAAGCGGTTCCCTTAAGGACGGCACTTACAATATGTGATAGGACTTATATCGTGCTAAAAATACATCTTTTTCCACATATCTATAGTCTATAGGGAATCACAGAGCTGCTAGTTCTGTAAATATCTACCAGCGATGAGCAGCAAGTAACATTCAAGGTTTCATGATACATAACCTACCTAGGTAACATCATATCTCCATCTTGACGAATAGTTTGACCTCTATCGGATAGCTCAACATGCGATCAGGCTTGATCTATTTACTAGCAAGCATCAATCTTCTTATACCGAGTGTCTCTGCGCTGCTACGTTTCTCATGTTCGCAACTCGTCGTTGAGCGTCTTGACCCTTTAGTCAACCCAGGGGTCTTTGGATCGCCACACCTTCACCAGGTCATTGGCGGAGTAGGTGCCTATTATATTTGATCCAGCATTATAGGCCATAAACGGCTAACTGAACAAAAACCATAGAACTCCTTCAACGCGTCGATGGATCCCAAGACCCTAGACATTCCTGGCTCAGCTACTTGCACCACTTGCACTTTCCCAGAGGATTTTTCCAACTACTGGACCGCAGTATTGTTCTTTCGTGCGCGCAATGGGACGTATAAGCGCGTTCCACAAAAAGGCAATGTGTACTTTGAGGAGTCAAACGGTGGCATGACAATATACTACATCCCAAGTTATAACCATACCGCCGTCACCGCGTTCAAGCCAGTAAGCTCCCTATATAGTTCCTTTAGAATGGCAGAATAAAGTGAGCTCATATCTAGCTAAGGGTTTCCGGATGATTACCGGTGACCCTACGATACGTACTAGAGAGGAGGCAGAAAAGTACCGACAACTTACGTAGTAAGTTATTCACCATTCATTTAATCGCAACCCTTATACAAGTTTTCTATGTGACTTCTTGTTTGAATCAGCCATCTATCAATAATTGCTTTGAATCGATTACTTACACGTATCCTAATGCCTAGTACTTGCCTACAAGACCCCTTAACGCGAACAAACGAGACTTTGGATATGCCGAAAGAACCCTGCCCAGCTGGCATAATGGCGAACCTCCGGTTTCCAACGTAAGTGACAGAACACGAGCTTTTACAGTCCAAAGATCAATAGCTAAGCTATCTAGATGTTGGGACGGTGTCAACCTAGATTCTCCTGATCACTCGAGCCATGTCTCGTATCCCGAGAGCGGTACGTTTGAGGAAGGCGGACCATGTCCAGCAAGTCATCCGGTACGTACAAAAACTGATCAGAATTTCTGAATCGCTTTAGTATAATAGCTAATCTTGCAGTAGTGAGTGAAGCGTGATCATACGTGACTTTACCGCTAAGTTGAAAGGGCAACACCTTGTCTGAAACATTACTGACCTAATATGGTTTAACACTCTAGAGTGAAAATCCCACAGCTTTTCTATGAGATAGTGTGGGATACCACGCCTTTTAACGATATATCAGAATGGCCCGAGGACGGTTCGCAGCCTTTTGTCTGGAGCTACGGAGACGCCACAGGCTTCGGCAACCATGGGGACTACATGTTTGGTTGGAAGGGGGATGCTTTGCAAAAAGTCATGGACACTGACTGTAACGGTTTCAAATGCCCCGAGCTAGGGTATCAGGAAATTAAAGAAGGCAACAAATGCACAAAGAAGAGGGATGTGGATGAGGACATTGATGGCTGTAAGTGTTATAATTGTAGTAAAATCACTGGATTCATGGCTAATACAAAACCGCAGGGCTCAAGGAGCTTCCTGGTGGAATGCCAGTCACTGATGCTAGAGGGAGGAAACAGTGATATGGGGTTACGATATTACCTATTGAATGAGACGAGGTCTTCGCTATATATAGGTAGGCATTTATTGGTCGGAGATTCTGCAATTCTTTGAAAACATAGGGATATGGCAAAGAAATCTTATAATTAAAAACGCCAACTCCCCTTTAATTGTTTACCTAGGAAACCATCGACGGCTTGAATCATCTGTCACAGTGATTACTGTATGTTTGAATACGATCCAACATTTGGGCTTCGGTTTGTAACAAACACCTGGCAAAACACCGCGTTGCTTCTCGAGCTGTGGAACTTGGAACGCACTATGGCGCATCGCTCTTTGTTGTGCATTAGAGCTAGGGTTTTCTGGATTGTTTCCGGGACCATTGTTCATTGTCACCCTTCAATCGACTTGTAACAGTCCTGATTGTCTCGCAAGCAAGAAGTCACAAAGAAATTTGATGATCTGCCGTCTATTTCTATAGAGGATCTGACCGAGACTGTCAATGAGTTCATATGGCTTCAATTTGAGTCTCTCGTCAACTTTTAAGCAAACCCGGAAGAACTGGCTTAACAATTTGATTTTATTAGTCGAAGAAATACCTCGAAATCATTATTATCAAGAGTATCCAAAAAAGGACATGTCCACAACACGGGTTGGCATTAGGGATGCTGCGGAGACCCTCAGTCGAATAGCTATAGCAAATGCAGGTTCAGCCGCTGGCGACTATCGAGACCCATCTTGGATGTGGCCTCCACCATTACATCAACCCTACTGTAGGCTCCATTTCCTCAAAGAGTGTTCACTTTACCATTTGAAGGAGAACGAGAGCTTCAAGCGTATGATTGAAACATGCACTACCAACCATGACAAGCCTAGAAAGTGGCCCGCTGCACCAACACGAATTCAACCGGCAAGACGAGCTCGTGAAAAAACTTGGAAAGATCAGTCGGGGATACAGGCGGAAAGCCGGAATTCTAGTCCATCACGAGGGGATAAGTCCGACCGCTCACCTACCACCCTCGAGACCTGGTGTCAGCAGTTGCAACTTCATCTTCCCTGGCCGATTTACAAGACTAGGATAGAGGCTCAGATCGAGAGGCATTCGAACGGAATTATTCGAGGCGACCAACCAGAAAGTAGCCAAGAGTTGGGCTTCCAATGCCGCTACTGTAAATTCGATCCCGAAGTCATCGACTTTCAAGGGTCTGCGCCCAGAAGGTTGGCCCCACCAGCGCCAATGCACTTTATCCTGCCAAGTGACATGAGAGACGCGCAGATAACGGGATTCGGAGGCCTCAAATTCGTAGTTGATGTATCTGATGGAAAGGAGACGATCGTCTTGCTAATCATGGATAGACTAGAAGATTTCACTGGTCATCCGGAGAAAGTAGAACCGGTAGAAGAGTTGAAGTCGGCTAAAGGTATTAAATCTAGGAAAAGACGTTCAGTAGTTGAGTCCGCCGATTCCGATGAACCAGCTAGTGCGACACCGAAGAAGCGCAGGAGAAGGGGAGGAGAATGAGGGCGTCTAGTAAAGGAATATAGTATCCTATATCTCCATAATCACCAACAATAGAGAAATAGGCTTGGGTAAAGCTCTCCCTACCTGCCTACCTATATAGGTAGAAGGCTATGAGGCAGAATAAGTGCCCATATCCAGGTCAGTATTCATTCGATATGATGATTTCTTCAAGTTCTCCTCCCTCGTTTGATGTTAGATAGCGAGTTGCTCCAGTGTCAATGCCATTTATTAATTTTCTTTATTATGGCCATGATTCATAAGCTAAGGTTGGTGTCAAGCACAGGAAAAAGGATGCGTATCGGCTTGGGGCAGTTGGATCGAAGAGAATTGACGATAAGATGATGACCGAATAGCGTTATGGAGAAATTGCTTGATATATGAGCGACCTTCCTTCTTGAATGATTGTGTGATTTTATGTTTGTTTTCGAAATATCGGTTTAGTATGGTTTGAAGTCAGACTCTGGTAATGTTACATTGCAGAAGACCGAGGCCATAACTTAATAACGTATGGTTAGAGAGTCAAAAAGGGTGTAGAAGGGTCGGTCAAAGATCACAAGGTTTCGTTTGCGTGCGATGGCGTGCGATCGCCAAGCATCCACAAGAACCTCACGAAAACCCAGCCGCCTACAGTCTACATATACGTAAGAATAACTTACCCCCTGACTGGAAATCCTATGAGTTCCAAGCGGATCTAGAACTCAATGCTGAGCCTGCACCACTTGCTCGCCAATAACGTGTGTAACATTCGACCATTGCCAAGCGGAATAGGGGGTATATAAGTGACATAGAAGAGGCGCATTCCATCCCAAAGCCTCCATGGGTCGCATGCGATTTCCTTCATTTCACTCTTTCAGGACCATTTTCTTTACCGTGAAAGATAAGATGGCAGCGATAGATGTGGCGAAAGATTCGGATCGCGACGATACACGGGAATTGACTATTCCTGTAGATGAAGAGTATGCCTCCTCAGCAAATGACGGAGTCCAGCAGTTCGCATACTCCGAATCTAGGAAGATTGGTGTCACGGGGGCAGTGTTTCTGATTCTGAATAAAATGATCGGGACTGGAAGTAAGTTGAGATTGGCGAGTTAATGTGACGTGGAATCCTCATCCCCGAACGGACTGAGTCCTTACCAGCCACCTTTAGTTTTCTCAACGCCTTCGGCTATCTTCGCTTCGACAGGCTCAGTTGGTATCTCCATCATATTATGGATCGTCGGCGGCATCTTAACATTCTGCGGGCTAAGCGTATTTCTTGAGTTCGGTTTGGCCATTCCGCTGTCTGGGGGCGAGAAGAACTACCTACCTTGAACGAGTCTACCGCCATCCCCGCTATCTAGCTTCTTGTGTTCTGGCAGCACAGATGATTCTTCTAGGTTTCTCATCTGGAAATTCGTTGGCTTTTGGCCGGTACGTCTTGGCTGCATCCGGGAGTACGGAAGGAGATGGTTGGACGGCTCGCGGAATCGCGATCGCCTGTATCACGTTCGCTGTCCTACTCCATTCCACTCTCCCTAAATGGGGCCTAAGGCTGGTAAATATTCTAGGGATATTCAAGGTTGTCATTCTTGTTTTTATCGTCTTTTCAGGCTTCGCTGCCATCTCCGGTCGACTCCTTGTCCCGCCTCCGGGCAACTTCCACAACGCATTCGCTATTGAGGTAACCGAAAATTACGGTGGTCAGGGCGCATATGGATACGCGACCGCGTTGCTGCAGATCATCTACAGTTACAAGGGCTGGGAAAATGCCAATTACGTGCTTGGGGAGTTGAAGAATCCGCGCAAGACGCTTTCCATTGCCGCACCGATTGCTATCGGCGGCGTTACCATATTGTACGTTTTGGCTAACGTAGCTTACTTCGCCGCCATAGACAAGGACGATCTCGCCAAATCTGAGGTCCTGGTTGCAGGGTTATTTTTCCGCAATGTCTTCGGAGATAGCGCGGCGGCTCGAGCACTCCCGGCCTTCGTCGCGTTGAGCAACCTGGGCAACGTCTTAGCTGTGAGTTTCGCACATTCGCGGCTCAACCAGGAATTCGGAAAAGAGGCTCTTCTGCCTTACGGAAAGTTCTGGGCATCTATCAAGCCGTTCAATGCGCCAGCAGCTGCTGTAAGTGCCTCGACGCAACCAATCTTATGGTGATATGTAGGGACTAACTTAACCTAGCTCTTCCTACATTGGCTTGTGACAGTCATCGTCCTGGTTGCCCCTCCGGCCGGTCCTGTGTACAACTTCCTTGTCAATTTATACACTTATCCCGGGGCTTGGATTAACGCCTTCGTCACTGGCGGCCTGATCTATCTCCATTACAAAAAGTCGGAAGACTGGTCATCGCCGTGGCATACGTACCTACCGATCAGCGTGTTGTATCTAATAGCCAACGTCTTCCTCGCGATCGTCCCGTTCGTCCCGCCGAATGGAGATTGGAACGCCCAAGGATACCCCTACTTTGTGTTCCCGGTTGTGGGAGTAGGCGTGTTGATCCTTGGTGGCGTATACTGGGCGTGCTGGTCTAAGCTTTGGCCAGCTATTGGCGGTTACCGGATTGAAGCTCATAGGATCGTCGAAGACGACGGTAAAGAGGTGGTCCGGTATAAGAAGATCAAGACGAGGTAATTGATATTCTGAGTTGTAGGAGGGCTATTATGAATAGTATATAGTGTACAGGACTAAATGTTATGTGGATCCCTTTAAATAAATAGATCTGATATCGGTATCTAGATTCGAGTCCCTTGTAAGACTCCGGGTTTAGCAGTTGAGTATACAAGGTCATGTCGCCTTGTCGCCTTATAGGTTATCAAATAGATTCTGCAGACAATATTAATGAAGATGTTGAACTAAGTAGCGTACGTAGTAGGTAGCACCCATATATCCATGGATGGAGGATTTATATTATGTAATCGTCTCGAGAAACTGAGAAGGATCTCTACCCCGATCATCATGCGGTTCAAGGCTAGGTAGGTACCTACCTAAGGTAGTACATCACACCTAGGTACAAACGTACCTACCCTTTCGATATCCATGCTTTTCATATGCATGTAATCCGCACCTACCCAGCCCATTCAAGTAAGATCTGTCAGATCTGTTAGACGAGGGCCTGTCGGTGTTACACAACCGGCGGGGAGAGGGGAACTAACGTCTTGATTAATCGTACAATACAGATCCAGATACGGCAAGCGCGCCTACTACCAAGCTTCCTCTCCACAACTTTTTCTTACTCACATTTTTGTTCGCTTTTTCACTCCTGTGCGTAACGCATGGATGGCTTTTTTACCTGACAACTGGCAAACCGGTCGCCGGACAATTCTTTTTTTTTTTTTCCTCAAAAAATTAAACACTTCTATTTTCTCTTGACTGTCTCTTTCTTCTTTTACTTAAGTATTCCGGATATCTAAGACATACTCGAAATAAACTTCTCTAATTTCGGTTCCCTACCTATTAAAACTACCTGGTAGTTCACCAGTCATCCCGATCTCTTTCGGCTAGACTAGGTTACTTTCTAATATCCGCAATTCGTGATTGGTCACAAATCTCCGTCGTACTCCCGCCAACGCCAACACCAACACCAACAGATACGGGGTACGGCCCGGTGCGAAGTCCTCTGATCTAGCTGGTGTCTCTCTGCGTCTTCGGCGTATTATTCTGCGGTGTTCCACGGCGCTTCCAGTGCGGAGAAGAGCTGAAGCTGCATATCTCGTTTATTCTTTAGCCAAACGGAGCCAGTTCAAGTCAATTCTTCCGTTCGCTCGTTTATTCGTTCGTTTCTTTTCCTTTCTCAATTCCGTTACCAGACTACCAGACACACTATCTATTGTCTGCCTCGGATTCGGACACCCGAACCCTCGAACCCTCGAACGTCTAATCAAACTAGTGGTTAGCATTTCCCATGAACATTCAATCTTCGGTCCGAGATGGCTGAGGAAACGCCGCCGGGCGACAATGGGAGCCCCGGAGGCAAACTATTTAACACTGCCATTTCCGATTTCGCCTCTAATTATGTCAAGACCGAATTGCATCAATTGACTCGCGAGCGAGATGATGCCTTGGCGCGAAGCCATGTTCCTAAGCTACGAGCACTCCTTAGAGAGGTGGATAAGGAACGTCAGGCCTTTATCCAAGATAAGGAGAAGCTGATCCGAGATTTGCGCAAGAAGCTGGAGCTGCTCGAAGTCGACCCTGATACTATTGAAACCACAATCACCGAACTCGCAGCGGTGACCCCCAAGTACCTGAGTATCATTCCAAGCGCTTCGACCCTGACTGTACGTCCCCCGACACCTTTCTTGTCGCCCGTTCGCGACGACTATTTCAGCACCGTCCTTGGCGCCGACACCTTATCAGGTGCGCCTCCGTTGCCTTCACAGATCCTCGATAAGGGTCTCGACCAGGGAATTGCGAATCCTGTCAAAAGACGGGTTTCAAGCCCTACGAATATCCACGTATCACCTAATGCAGGCCCCAATGTTGACCACCAAATACAGGACCAGATCCTATCTGAGAGTTCTGCTGCTAACCAAACTCCCAAACGAGCCGCTACTGATGGAGATGGGAACACAAGCGCAAAGAGAAGGAGAGTAGATAGTGGAAGGGTAAAACTCACCCATGAGCTTCACCATGTGACTAACTAACAATGCTGCCAGACGCTAAGCCGCACCCAGTCAGATATCTTCCGCAAAATTGCGTTTCCAAATCTAGAGACAGGGGAACGTATTTTCCGTCATGTGAATCGTTCGGGCTTATTTGTCATTCGCTGTAACCGGTCTAATTGTCAGACCGGATTCTTCACAGAACCGCCTCTAGCATATAACAGAGCTTTAAAGCATTTCCAAAACCACGGGGAGACAGGGCAGGATGGAGAGGAATTAACTAACGAGTATATTTTCGAAAACTTTGCCTGCGAAAGTGAGCAACGTGAATCCTAGCCCCTCCCCAAATATTCGTGCTAACGTATCTCCTTAGTCGAGGGTACTAGCATGGTTTCCAAGTATTGGATTAAGGAACATCTTGGACCATCGCCGCATACCTGTGAGTATAGAAATTTTGTTTATGCGCCCCGAAGAATCCTTCCTTGCCTTAGACTATTCCTTCGAGAGTGTAGCTACTAATGTCATTAGTCGTCCCCGGAAAATCAAGATCAAGAACAACACCTGCTGATTCGAACGCTACACATAAACGACAAGATGAAGACAACAATTACACGTCATCTAGTAAACCTCATGATCCTGTCGTGGACGATGAGTCAGACGAGGAAGAATTGCAAGTTGAGAAACCGCGTCGTACACCCAGAAGTGTTGCACGTCCGGACTACGCAGAGTTAGTTGCGAACAAAGACCCTTGGAATCTCTCCGATGCCGATAGCGAGGTGTGTTACACTCTTAAGGTTTGAATTGGGATTTTCCACAGCTAACATGCGAACCAAAAGGCTGTCCCTCGTTCTACGAAAGGTTCGCGAGCACGTGCCAATGGCCCACGCAAGTCATCGAGGTCTAGTGGTAGCATATCACGAGGCACATCAAATACATCAACCCCTGGTCCGTCAACAGCAAGAGCGAAGACAACGGAACCGAGTAAGTATGTCAATGCCTGTTCCCGTGTAGATAGATGTGATCTAACGTTTCATAGGCCCTTCGGCTACACGTCGGAGCAATGGCCCAGACGGTCTGCACCAAGTTAGAGGCGGTCGGCGCCGCCTTGATGACACGCATGCCACACTCATCAACGGCCATATCCTAAAGATAAAAGTCAGACTAGCAAAGTAGGCTACGGAGAGAAATGACGACATTCAATGATTTTACGTTTTCTTTACGAGGCTATGCTGTTTCATGAATCAATTATACCCACGTTGAGGCGTCGGAAACGGGAAGGCCACCTTGCTCATTTACGGAACGTCGAGTTTCTTATCATCGCGGCCTGTCCTAGCTGCTATGTGTTCGAGAAACTACACTACAGATAGTGCCGGAACTGGCTAGCAGGCCAAATCAATGTTTATATGAACTTCAAGTTAAGGCGATACCACATCGTTCGGCAGTGTGCTTATATTCAGTGCGAAAATCCGCATAGGTTCCTATACGTCTAATGTGTATATCTAGGCGACTTTGAGCATTTCCCTTCGTAGCTATCCCTTTCCTCTCATGTGGTCTTTGCCACGTATACTAACATTAGCCCGCTATTTACGTAAACTCTAAGATGCGTATATAGTATAAATGGGCAGATGATATGGAAATTTGCCTAGAATTCTTACACCACCCCGTTTCCAACGGCCAAAAACCTAACTAAAAACGTCTCATGGCATTACAACTTTGCACGGCCGCCCTTAAGCGCGTCCCAATCGCTTTGGGTAAAAGGCACGTAGGTGTCGCCCTTACCATGATCAGCGACCCAGAAAACGGGATCGGGCCCCGTCTGAGCCGGATCCACGCCCGCGCGCTTGAGCGGGACTTTGTCCTGCTTGTTGTTGTGGGTAGCAGAGCGAGCGGCGATGCGGCGGATGAAAATGGGGACGGCGTACTTGGGGAGATGGGTCCGGGCGTGTCTGTTTTTTTTGCGCATGTGAGTAAGATGTGAGATAATTGACCTTATGAATAGGAGATGCGAGAGAGGAGTGCGCGTATACGAAGTTATCTGCGATAACTAGGATCTGCTGAAAGAAAAGGGTAAATAGAAAGCAACTCACTTCAGTAGACTGTGGTAATCAAAGTTCTTGGCGGCGGGATCGATGTAGATGGCCGCCATACCAGCCTTGCCGTCGTGGTTCGGCAGCGATACGCCGTATACCGTCGCCTCGCTTACCCCCGGGTGGCGTCCTAATACCTCAGATACCTCGGCCGTAGACACGTTTTCGCCCTTCCACCGGAACGTGTCACCTAACCGGTCCAGGAAAAACCAGCGTCCGTCGTCGTCGCGCCGCAGCGCGTCGCCTGTTCGGTAGTATAAATCCCCTTTGCGGAACACGTCGCGCACGTACTTCTTAGACGTGGCTTCTTCGTTCCGGTAGTATCCCGGGAAGCCGGGGGTAATGGTGGGCGGCTGCGTCACGAGGATCTCGCCGCCGACGGAATACGGCACGCGGCGCGCGAAACCGGTCTTGGGGTCCCGCGCGATGTCCCCCGTGTCGACGTCGATCTCGACCGGCACGAAGACGTTGTGGAAACGCCACCGCTGCAGGAAGCCGTGGTGGCCGACGGCGTGAGCGCGGAAATCGCCGCGCGCGGGGTTGTCCAGGGGCATGATGCCCTCGGTCGAGTTGAAGAACTCGTGGATCGTCTCGATGCCGAAGCGGTCCCGGAACGCCTTCCAAACGTCGGGCCGCAGGCCGTTGCCGTAGATGGAGTGCACATTGTGGTCCTTGTCGCGCGGCGAGGGCGGCGCGGCGAGAAGGTATCGCAGGGTTTCGCCCACGTAGACGAACCAGGTGGCACGGCTCTCCCTGATGTCGTCCCAGAACCCGGAGGCGCTGAACTTGGGCGCGATGCACAGCGTCTGGCCCGTCAGGAGCTGGGTCATGCCGCTGATGCCGCCTGTGCCGTGGTAGAGCGGCATACAATCATAGTAGCGCTGGTTTTCGCCCTTGACGTACGAGAATCCGCAGTCTTTGCTCGAGCCATACCCGAAGCCGGCCGCTGCGGGGAGGACACAGGCTTTTGGCAGGCCAGTCGTACCGCTGGTGTAAAATAGACCGAATGCCGAGTTCGGCCGGACATTATCGTCGCGTATGTTGTCGGGTGGCCGTTCGCCCTTGGTGGCGTTGATTTCATGCCGAACATCGGCGAGCTTCACGACGCGCACGTCTTGGGCGGCCAGCTCGTCTTGAACCGCGTCGAGACGCTCGAGTAACTGTGGTGCACCATCGGCGAGGACTAGTTTGGCCTCGGCGATGCCCAGACAATGCAACAGAGCTTGCTTGGTCAAGTTATGGTTGATGAGGGCGGGGGCGGCGCCGATGGCTAATAAACCCATCCAGGCGAAAACGAATTCCGGGCTATTGGCCATAAAGAAGGCTACAAGGTCGCCAGGCTTGACGCCGCCGTCGCGTAGGAACCATTGGGCATATTGGTTCGCGCGGTAGTACGTCTCGGCGTACGTATAACTGCCCTGGCGCGACCAGATGCACTCCTTACCGGGTTGGGACTGTGCATGCTTCTCGAAGAAATAATAAGATGAGACACGCTTTTCTTGGACTACATTTTGGTTGTGGTTGTGAGAGACTGGGATTCTGCAGGATGTTGAGCACCGATGGCGGTGACATTTCACTCACTCGCTTTCTGTAATTGCTTTGCGCCTTTGTTTCTTGAGCGGATGATCTGCCAATCCTGTCGCAGATGGTATTTCCCGTCGAGGTACGTGAGACCGGCGGCTGTGGCAGCTACCGACGCTGCTGCTGTGCTAACCTGTCAGCCATGACACGTTGTGGGGATGGAGGATGAGAAGATAGCATGTCTCGGGTCCCAACCGAGTTATATCGCTTATGGAGGGGCTGGAAGCTCACCGATTGCAGCCATCGTACTCTCAGAAAATTGAATAGAGGGAAAAGCAAAAGGCGACAGAGTCCACTAAGCTCTAGTCTACTATCGTAAGAAATCTGACAAAAGAACTTGGAGTTGCATTCTAAATCCAACTCTTCTCAAAATCAAATAACCAATACGGGAATGTCAATAAGACATAAAGAAGACGAGGAAAAAGAAGATGAGACGCGCCTACGGTACAGCCGAAGGGTGACCTCGGGATCTTAACTTCATTTGTCTAGATGACTGGGGTCCAGCAAGACGGCAGTTTGTGGGGGACAGGGGGTATCACTCAAAGCAAAGGCTAGAACAAGACGAGAGAGAGTCTTTCACAAATATCCAAGTCTCAAGGGGCTGGCACTTATTACTAGGTAGGTTAGGTTAGGAACCTGTATGTAAGGAATCAAACCAAGCCAAGAGAGGTGTGGAGAGAGCTTAAAGGAATAGTGACCCCGAGCTGGCCGAGTTATGCTGGTTATGTCACTGCCCTTGAATTACATACATGAATGTATTAGCCGTTGGAGACGCGCCCCGCAATTCCCGGGTTTGTTGGTCGGCAGTAGTTATTAAGCCCTGTTCCCTATATCTACCAGACCTAGGTCAAGGTATATGTGACTTGAGCTTTTATATCCAAATGCTAGGCAGTCCGATTGGATGGATTTGACCTTACGGACAGCTCGAGGTTTCGAGGGAAACAATACACGATGCCTTGACAGAAAGATTCGCTGCCGACCGTACTAGAAATCACCAAGCTAGCTAGCTTGGCACATATAGATCAGCTATCCTCTTCGATTTCTACCCCTTCCGGAGGTACGAAGGGTGTTTCCTGTCCTTTCCAGGCATTCGCCACGTACCTAGAAGAGTTAGATGTGAACTGCGGAGTTGGGGATAACTACTGACTTTGTATGACTTCCCCTTGCCGTAAGCTCCCCTTTAGCGTTCTTAAACGTGATGGATGTGTAGGCTAGCCTCCTACCCACTATACTAACATATGAGGTCTTCTTCCTCAGTTTACTTCGAGGGGATGTTATGTACTCACTCAGATCACATATCGCGGTTCCGCTGAGCTTATCGCCAACCTGGCCGCCGCTGCTCAGGTATGTAACTGGAATTATTTAGCGTTGTCTCAAGTTTAGCGGCACCATCAAGTAGTAAGTAAGATATTATTGCTAATACCGCGTGGTGTAGTCTGAAGCTCACCATTCAAGTCTGTCGATACGCCAGTAGCGTAGAGTCCCATCGACGCAACTGCTAATGAGCCTCCCAGGTCTACCATGCTCGCAATCGTGCCCCCGTGCAGTATTTTTAGTCGGTTCTAGAGAATGAGTAACAAGCACACACTATTGTATATCGATCTTGGAGTCAGGTTGCGTGCCTCACCGTGTGGTCCTTGGCGATATCCAGCTCGAAGTCAACTTTTCCAACGACAGCATTTGTAACTCTGAACTAGTGTCGTCAACAGAGCAAGGTCTTTCATTTCCGCGCTCTATCTACTTACATGTGGCCCTAGGAGTCTAAATGAAGATAATTATGAGAAATGGGCAGCGGACATGGGAGGAAAGATGAAGCATACTCACCTTGGTTCTAGGCCAGAGTCTTTCATGAAAGACTTCAGAACCTGGAATGGAAGAAGAGTCAGCCGCAATTCTCACTGCTTACTTAGTTATAAAGAATACAATTTCAAGATTGACTGACAGATCTGACGAGTTGGAGAGGTGGTAGTTTCCGTGTCATTGCGAGGATATGTATATCATATACCTATATGAAACACTGAACAGGTTCGGATTGGAGGAAGTATTTAGTACTGGATAGAAGTAAGTGCTAGTAGACCACTGAGCAGACCTCCCCAATCCTTATCAGTGCTATTGCTTATCTAAGCTCAAGCTTAAGGGAGGGACGGCGGATGAAAATAAAAGTGGAGCAGGGCGCTAAGTAAGGGAACTTGATTTCTTCAACTATTTCTTCAAGGCTTCAACTACCACCATACAGAGCCGACAAAACGAAAGCTCTGCCTGCGCGCAATGGATTCGCATTAGCACAAACATGGCTGCCGCTCCCACACACTCCGAACCTTCAGTACCCCCGATAAGCGACGCCGTCTCTCATACGCGACTACATATAACTCCTCTAGACGAGTCGCTGCTGGGCGTTGTCGTCCCCTCTTCTGTCCTACCTCGCGCGCGTAACATCTCCTACCACGCCATCCAAACCTTCCCCGAGAAGCGATACGGCTTCGTCGATCTACCCACCGCAGACGCTGAGAAGATCAAGAAGAAACTCAACGGAGCTGTGCTGAGGGGATCCAAGATGCGCGTTGAGAAGGCTAGACCCGAGTCCATCCCTAAGCCTACGGGCGAGGCCAACGTAACAGAGGCAAAGAAGGAGAAGAGTAAATACGAGAAGAAGAAATCCAAGAAGAGGAAGCGCGAGGCGGATGTCACCCCTGGCGTTGAACTTGAGAACCGCAAGGTCAAGCGAGGATGGACAACGTCAGAACGCGAGATAATCGATGAAAAGCGAAAGAAGTCTAAGGTGGATAAGAAATCCAAGGACGAGAAGGAGGCGAAGAAGAAGAAACGGAAGGAGGCCAAGTCGAAGTATACGGATGGTCCAGAATGTCTGTTCAAAACTAAACTCCCGGATACCGGTTCATCGTCAAAAGCCAACGAAGAGATTGTGGGGCACAAGAAGAAGAAGAAGCGGAAGAGCGATCGGGAGGTTGTTATACATGAGTTCGAGAAAACCATAAAGCATCCCACCTTTCTCAAAAGTAATGCGGAAAAATCTACATCAGAAGCCGTGACGTTTCAGGATGGTGTTGGCTGGGTGGATGAGAACGGGAATGTCGTGGAGCCTGTTGTGAGCAAGAAACGGAACGGTAATGTTCTAAAGCCCACTGCGGCGGAGTCCCAGTTGCATAAGGTCTCCCCATTACCCGAGGCGGATGGCGACACGAGTAGCAGTGGATCTTCATCCGATGAATCCGAGGATGAGGAAGCTAGCGACCAAGAGGCAGAACGTTCAGATGAGGAGGAAGCTGAGACGAAGGATTCACCCAAGCCCCCCAAAGTAGACACGCAAGCCATAAGTAGTCCTGTGTCAATTCTTAAGGCAGAGTCCGCGAGACCAAAATCGTCGAGCTCGGTCACAAGTCTCACTATTAAGATACCACCTGTCACTCCAGCCGCAGCAAAAGTCCACCCTCTTGAAGCTTTATATAAGCGGCCTAGAGGAGACGCAGCTACTCCTGGTGAAGTTGCGAAGGAAGCGCAACCTTTCAGCTTTTTTGACGGGGACGAAGAGGATGATGATCTTGAGGAAGAGAAGGCCATGGGACCCCCGAGTCAGCCTCCTATGACCCCCTTCACAAAGCAGGACTTCGATTTTAGGAATGTGCGAAGTGCAGCGCCTACTCCAGATACAGCACATCCTAGTAGCAAGACGTTCAATCTCTGGCCAAGGCAGGGATCCGCCGATGACGGAGCAGAGGAGGAGGAGGAGGAGGAGGAGGAGGAGGAGGAGGAGGAGGAGGATGGGAATGATGGTTATGGTAATGATGAGAATGAGGATACGATTATGGCGGGCGTTGATGATCAGACCGCTAAGGTTGGCGGCGACAAGGCAGCCCCAATCAGTGATTTTCAGAAACAATTTTGGGAGAGCCGAGGCGATCTAAACCGGTCGTGGAGGAAACGAAGAAAGGCAGCTTCCAAGGAGAAGCGATACAGGGAAAACCGTGCTCGTGCAGAGCGAGCAATCTAAGTTAGGATCATCCAGCTTTCAATACTACAACAAATCGTCCAGTGCATTACTTTATACCTAAGTACGTCTATGGCTTCATATCACAGTCCATGGCCTTCACGAAACATCAGGGGTTAATACTAGAGCCATATTTATTGCTATCGAAGCAGTATCCTACATGGGTTAGGATCTCCCCTGTCATAGAAACTATGACGGCGGCGACCCTCGGATATGAGCTTAGCCTGGTCAATGACCTTTTTTTCCTTTCTTTTTTTTCCTTTTCCGTTTTCTTTTCCGTTGGCCTCATGCTCAATATCCTACCATAAGCTTATCTGCATCGTTAGACCATGTGCATACCATCCTTGTATTGTATAGCTACCTAGCCGTAGTCGTAGTCGGTCATAAACCCACCAAGGAATCCCCGAATCGCATTCCCAATGCCTTCAAGAGGTGACGGGAGTAGTATAGGTCACCGGAAGCTGAACTTGCGACTAGAAAAAGTTCGAGCCCGTGTAAGGAATGTGCGCCGGAGGGGGCGAGGATGAGTGGATAGCCTCGAGTGGAGAAGACAAAAGAAGGCTACGAGGAGTCAGGGTCTCGCCTGATCGCTCGGTGATAGGCGTAAGCTCGTTGAAGCGTGCGGCAAGGGAGCAGACGCGCTTCGGCATCTTACCACCGCTAGCCACTTCGGATGAATCTTCAGGAGAAGCACCAGGATCTTCATTGCCATAATGATCATCTCGAAGGTTGCTCATGCTTCCGCATGGCTCTTTGCACCAGCGATCACGGGGAGGGAGTCCTGAGCCATATTCTCGCTCGGGCTCTCGGCTGGGACGACGAGGTAGAGGGAAACTGAAGTTGGGCACCGAGGTCGGAACTCGCTGCGAGGCTGACGACGCCGCAGCGGATGTCTCTGCTGACGGGGCCCCCTGCTGTTGCTGCTGCATGCGATGACGATCCTTCATAGTATTGGCCATTTCTTCTTCTCTGCGCAGCGAATCGCTTCGCGCAATACCAATGCCATCGGCTTCGCCGTATTGCATGCTGGTGCTTCGAATGGAACCCTGCGACTCGATCGAGGGCCCTGGGCGACCTGGCTGTCCCGACACCGCACAGCCGCATCGAATTGCTTGGTCACTCTCCGTGGCATTTGCCGAAGCCTTCGACTTGGACTTGTACAACCACGCGAACATCGACTTAGACTTCGAGGCTGCCTTGGGCGGGTTGGGATAGACGGAGCTCACATTAGTCAAACTTGGAAGTTGACCTGCGGCGTGAGCACGATAGACAAGGCCATTGTCGTGAAGACGCACACGACTCGGAGGAGGTAGAGCGTCGACTATGTCGCCTAGCTCAGCCCAGTCCTTGTTATATCCTGGGTTATCACCTGACTCCTGCAGTCTGCTGCATCGTGCACTATTGTAGATAAGCAGGACCAGCAAGACGAGAATACTTCCTCCCAGCCAGGAGAGGACTGCTATCTTCATAGTACCTTCCAAAGTGGTAGTGTTGTAGACCACAGCGCTGATGATGATGTTCACGACCATGACGCCCATGCTTGAGTAGATAATACGCGTCACCTTCTTGCGGGACAGACGAAAGGCGAAGCAACGGCGGATCCGAAAGCGGCCATTGTGGAAGGTGACAAGAGCTCTTGACTTGGTCACGGGGGTGGGCTCGAAGATAGGCAGGTTGACAAAAGAGGAGGTTCTCGTGTTAAGGCCTTGAGATGACGCTGTCTCTTGGGAATCCTGACTGGGCGCCACCTCGCCAGTCATGCCGAGGAGCTGGAATGAAGAGATCGGCGAAACTGCAGGCGGCAGCTCGACACTTGGAAGCTCGCGATTCTCGTCATTTCCCGCGTATTCTGGGTGATAAGGATCCCAATGGTCGACGTTGCTCTTCGCCCACTGATCAGTCCTGGGGACGGGCCGAGAAAACCAGGGGTACGGGCCGTCGTCTAGACCAGCATTCTTTAATAGCCGCTGTCGCGAACCCTTCTCCGTCTCACGTTCCAATGAGTGTTCCGACTTGTGGTCTGGGAACTTATATCCGATGAGTTCTGAACGTTGGCGTCTATGCCCGATCGCTCTCTGCCGTCTGGTAGCCTCTGCTTTGTCGAATGTGCTGCCAGTGTTCTGAGCAGAACTGTCGGCGGGGCTCTGGGCATAACAGCTACCAGGACCATAAGGAATATAGCCACTCATTGTAACTCCGAGTGATCTAGTCCACAATGGTTGTCCAATGTATGGTCCGCTACTACAACGTCGGCAGCCGTTGTCTGAGTTCAGGGATGGCAAGTGCTGTCACTTGTTAGAAAATATACAACATACTTTGAAAGTATTCAGCCTACTTACTTAAGATGCGTATTCGCAATCTGGAAATAAAAGGAGAACGAAGGTGCGGTACGATACTATGTATCAATGAGCGGGATGAGCTGTCTGGCATCAGTCTACCGTCAAAGAATAGCGACGATGTGAACCATACTTTGCCTAGACAGGCCAAGTGAAGCCCAGGTATCAACGAAGGGTATGCTAACGGCGAGATCGCCGAAGCTCAGGTGTATTCTTGAGTCTTGAATATGTTAGTAGGAAAATATTTTAGTTTGATGGATAAAACTTACTACCAAAGCGTGAACGATTTTTATCGACGATTCCAAGAAAAGTAATAGAGCGAACGACAACTATGGGTTGAAAGACCGTGGGAGTCTGCAGTAGCAGGTACTACAATGATGAATTGTTAGTAGAAGGTCCAGTTAAGTATGCAGTAAAGGGATAGGAATAGGAAAATACGATGATATTGGTATGCGACGAAGGAAATGGACCGGGGGGATATTCACGCGATAATGAGACGCGGGATACAAAATGGTCCGTGGCAATCAAAGGAAATAAAACACGTATCCGACCAGGAGCAGGTTGTAGGTACCTTCACGAATATGTTTTAGACCCAAGGTTGAATGAGCGTAGGTAAGAAAGGAAAGAGATAGAAGGTACGGTTTAATATGGGACGTCAAACTATCATCAGGAAAGAAGGGGCATCATCACCTAGTAGGTGACTCGATGACTATGTTCAAGGGAGTGTAGGGCAAGGTATGATGGGAAATAGGTTTGTAGAAACCTGCTCGGCAAGGAAGAAAAAAAAAAGTAGGACTGGTGAGGGAAAGGAAGAGGGTTATTTTGGGGATGAGGGAGTATGTGAGTAAAATAACGGACTGAACTTGAGCTTTGAAGTGAGGAAACAAGAGAAGGAGATTACAATGGTTCAAAGGGAAGAAGTACGGCTAGAATTGTGCAAGGTTAGGATTACTATTGCATATGCAATAAGCCTTACCTCTTAGATTAACCTTGGTCTGTATATGGTCGTGCTCATGGAGGAGAAAAGGAAAAGAAAATAAGATGAAATATTTTTGGATCCGAAATTTTAAAAGGTACGGTGGGTGATGAAGGTTGTCAGTTGCTAGGGTGAAATCGACAACAACCAGCTTGATAAATTCTGGTGTTGAGTCGTTACCTTTGTACCTAGGTACTGAGTTAGTCACCCTCATACCTCAGACAGGGTATTTGGCAGTAAACACAGTGCCGTCACGTCAACAGTGTTCACCTTCAAAATTGTTGAAAGAGAGGAGTAGCATGTAACCCTATACGCATGGAGGACGTATGTGTACGATGTAGGTATGAAAGAGGAAAATATCATGTGGGTAGACGGTAGTTGAAAAGGGAATGTCGTAGCTTACCTACTGAACATTGACTGAGGACGCTCTGGCAGAGAAATAAATGCAGGTGAAGAAATCAAATTCTGTAGTAAGTGGTGGGTTTATAATTATTTGACGCAGCTGGTTAGGAGGGCAGGTGACGAGTGTTAGTGACGATCTGCCAGAACGTTAAAATTAACGGAATTCATGGCATAAAATAGCACGGGAAAGCTGCCATCATACACAAGACCTCCGGGTTTAGACTGTATTGCAGCTCTATCTATTATAAATGGCACTCAAAGACAGCTCATCCTATTCAAACGCCAGTAATTTGTGCTACTGTTGAACTTTTCCCCCTCTACATGTGCACTCTTACCTACGTACTGGGTGAATAGGCAGAAACCTAGGGAAGATTCCTTCCAATGCTGCTCGTCACGTTTGCGTTCAATGATATTTTCTATATCTCTTAAGCTTGATATTGCATACTAGTTGGCATCGCCGGTGATTGTTACCTAGGGTTATGGACCCTTTGAAATCGTCAAGCCCACTGTCCTTATGTCCCTTGCTAAAGAGGCCTTCCCTTATTTCATGTCAATTCTCCTTAGAAGATATCCTCATTATCTTCTCATTATTATCTTCAAGTTGGTCAATGGGTATATTTTTCGTAAATAGCCCGCCGCTTCATTTTCTATAGCTATTAGCCGTCAAGCAGGGTGTTTAGAATATCCGGGAAATGACTAAAACCTCCAAATTAGCTAGCAATGATGGGCTGACGTTCGTGGACGTTCGGCCGTAGAGTAACCGTGGCTCCACACCTCGGCATGGAAGTTGGTACCCGACAAGACCGTGATGTCTCCGGTTGTGGTCAGATCGACCGGGTCTTGGCAGTTACACAAGCCCGCCACTTCCCGAGCGCCAGAATTCAATATCGCTCATGAAATGCTACCATCTGATACCTCTGCATATCATCATTATCAATAGATCGAATCATTTATCGGGTTACGTATCCATCGGGCTTTTAATCCTCGAATGGCGATCTCTCGTTGAAGAAAGACAATATTAGGCTCTCGTTGATAATATCCCATTCGTAGGATCGCGGCTTCCTCCGCAGTGGTCCCGGCGTCGTGGAAAACAACATGATTGGGTAGCCCGTTCACGCTTTTCCCTGGCTAATAGATTTGGGTTTTGCCTAGCACTTGACGGCTGGCAGCATATGCTACCTACTCGGTGAATAAGGTTAAGCTTAATATTAGACCTTATGTTTCTATAGAAGTCACCTGGTAATATCCGATGTGCTATGTACCTAGATATCTACACGTAATCAAGCTACATATTTGCTGATATGGCGCTGAGACCAATATACTATTGACCTAGATGCATTGTATTGATGTCACTAGACCACTTATAGTGTTACTAAACTGGGCAAGATGGATATCAACCTAGGAATTGTTAGAATTGCGGGAGATACGATACCCTAGGGAAAAAGTAATATTTCGACGATTATGACATATCACGATGATGGAAGGATAGAGAAGCAGATAAAAGTTCATGGATACCTAGGTAGGTATGTGAGATCGCATTTAATGCTGGGTGATAAGGAGTGGCTAGCGATTAGCTACTACACGGTTTTCCTCTCTCATTCTTTAAACCCCCCCAAGGTTCCTCCGAGATGCATTGCCCGTATAGTATTTGTACCCATCATGGCGAGCGATTTCCGATGACCCGAAAGATTAAAGGCTGTATTGAACAAAGGTGGTAGATAATTGACGACGAAGAGTGAAGTGAAAACTGGCGCGATGTAGCAGATCCATCATTTGTAGGAAGGTGGTCGCTTATTTGCCGCAGGCGCAGCTGGAGCCGCACTCGCCTAATGAGCAAGATACGTTAGTACATTGTCACTATGATAAGGGATGTTTTGCGTTCTTATAAGAAAGTAGCAGCATCGGCAAATATCGCGATATAACACAACCATGGTGGAGGGGTTATCCGCATTTGCAAGGATGGCGGGGAAAGATAAACGACAGATGACATGGATATATGACTTACAGTTGTCAGCACAGTTGCAGTCGCCCTTCATATTGATTGATGGTGGTTTTGTTTTTTTTGCTAAGATAGCTTAGTAGATACTGTCGTAGTTGACTTCTGGTATGAATTTATTCGTAGATATGTATGTGTGTGTACGTTGTTAGAAAGTTGAGGGAGGAAATGGTTCTAGGTCGAAGCTTTATATGCTGATAAGTGATCGATAAGTGGGTCGGTGGATATTCCGGATCGGGGCGTCAGAAGTGAGTATTGGCCAATCAGAGTGGCGAATGATAATGCGCTGTTTGTGCGGGGTTTGCGCTTTTTCAGCGCGATGTCGCCCTGTCTCACCACACTCTGGCACCTTCCAAGGTTCCAAGGTTTCGAGGTTTCAAGGTTTCAAGGTTTACACTTTTAATGCGCTACGTTGGCTACGTAAACTCGCACAAGTCGCTCAAAAGAAAGTATAGTTGACGTACCTTTGTAGCTAGCTGCACCATTTGTGCGTCGTCTTCAAAGAATTTCAACTTCTAAAATGGGTTGGTTCATGAAAATTTGACCTTCCTAACTCCACGCAGTTAGCTCTACGTATCTTATGACCTTTTGTCATATGGTGGCAAGCTATCAACTGCTAAATTAGTTGCGAAATTTGTGCGCCATTGTCATCCTGTCGATCAGAGACGACTTTGTCTCTTCTTCCAGTGCCGTATACAGTATACAAATATGACGCCAGGGAGAGACATCAATGTCATATACTCCTCTCTTCACCTGTCGGGGCATCTTCCCACTGGCTCTTCATTGACACAATATCTACAACAGTGGCCTCCTTGCTCTTTTGGTGCATCCAGGACTAAGACAATTGCAACTCCAAGTACATACCTACCAACCTAGGTACGTGAGTGGGATGAATGGATGGCAAAAGAGCCGGGGCCACCTCCGATTCATCGTGAGCACATCATGAGCATCCCCTTACCTACACAGCCTACAGTAGGTATCTGGCTTGACTGCTTGAGAACGAGACGGCGGGAGAATGGGAGAGGAGGTATTCTCATCATATTCCCTCCCCGCGTTTTCGAAGCCCCTGCAGCCGTCCGGCGTGGCGGTTTTGCTCGAGATGATTTGATTGACGACGACTTCCCAAAGCCGAGGAGCCAATCATAAGCTCCGGCACCTCGAGCTTAGCTTCTGCTCCATTTGAGCTAATTTTCATTCGAGCGCACTGCCTGTCAGCTAGGTGGCCTGCACGACAGATGCCTGCATGCGCTCCTGTTACATTGCAGATCTTACCAACTGCCCTTCATTCGCCGACCACGCTTCTCTATCTTATGGATCCTACTCGCCACTGACGAACTGTTATTCTGTCATCCCGCGTTTTCTAGAACTCGCAATAGATTTCTTGGACTTAGGACTCAAGGCTTAGGAAGACGGCGTGACCAATGTAGTATTCATAATACGGAGTTCATCGGCTACAATTTGCTGTCTCCAAATCAACGTTGTAGTCCTCCCACGTTCTCGGCATCTGTTATATTTTCCTAATCTTGGTTTTCTTATGTCATCCCATCTTATCTGAGGGAAATCCAAAAGCAGGGACTTGTAGTAGCCGTGCCAAGTGTCCCATGCCAAGGACTCTCCAGAATGAGGCACCAAACAACGACACCTCTGCAGATTATCCACGCAATTATATGCTGAGGAACATTAAAAGGCTACAAACGTGGACAGCATTGCCGCGCCTCGATTCAAACCACCACAGACGGAACGTAATATAATATCAGGCCATTTGATAACGTTTGCGCGTACTTTTTTGGGCTGTTCTGCGGGATGATGCATGCATAAATACGCAAAGGGATGTATCGGATCGGATATGACCGTATGTGCGCCTAATATAGGGGTAGAGTTAGTAGTGTAGCTTACATCATACTGTGCCAATGTATGTGGATTGACGACCAGTAGGTCTAGCGTTACTCCCTCTCACAGCCCTAACCCAACGGGTTCGAACCAGAGATCATCCTTAGATCATATCTCTTTCTTGGATCTTCACCCTACCCTAGGAGCTCTGATTACTTGCCCTTGAAGAGACCATGTATATCAATTAGCTTGTGTACAATTTTACAACTTCGCAGGAAATGGATAGATTCACTAGCAGTCAAGGGGTGAACGGTGGCATGGCCGAGGGTCAACCCAAAAGGCACATATTCCTCACCATGGTTTTATTATATATTCTAATCCATTATGGATTTCCATTATAGCACGCGTTATCTTGATAATATGTCTATAAATCAATAGGTAGCTACATGTATGTGGGCTTAGGTTAGTACCTGATATCGCGGTAGTTGCCCACAATGGCCATCAAGGTAGTTGTCACAACCAAACATATATACAGTTAATTTCCCTCATTTTCTGAAGACGATCGTCTTCACATTCTAGTAAGCCAATCTGGTGGCGCTGGTCAAACCACACGTATATTGCTTTAGGATAATCAACCTCCCTCGTCCTCCTAACGATATTACTCTCCTTCGTTATATTTTATAACATTAATAATTACACCGATCTTTGTCGAAGGATATAGGCATCCCTACGAATACTAATGATACATATTCCTTGTGAATGGGGCACCGGCTTCTGCTAGAAATGCTGACTATAAGATCATCAATCGAGACGAGAAGAACAGATTGTTGCCCTTCAACTTCGAGAAACCAGAACATGAATTATTGAGCATATTACCATCATATCGTGTAAACCTCATGATACCGACTCAGATAAGAGAGATGTTTACCTACCTACCTAGGTTGGGAAACCGGCGCTTCCAACACAACGAAATTCCAACACAATACGATTTGCAGGACGAAAGGGCTGATTTCGTGGTATTAGGCTTAAGAACAATGAGCGCTAATACTATTTCCCCAAACCATGTTTACGGTATACAAGAAAATAAAAATGGTCGTTAGAGCCAGCTATGATTCGATGCCCATAGCTTCTTATTGCATAGCTCTAGCGGCGTCTTCACGGGAGTTTGGCCGAGGTCGGGATAAAGGAGGAGTAATGCTTACGTAGCAGTCTTCGCAAGCCACGACAAGAGATATCTCCCCTATGTCTCCTTTCCGATAAATCGCAACCACGATTCCAAATCAGACATGACCCCCTGTGCCAGGGCTGGGTCCACCGCGCAATCCTGCCAGTCGCACGATACGTACAACTCCCTACCCTTCACGGCAATAGGGCAGATACATAACACCGCACCTTGAGCCTCGGGGCTAACGGAGAATATCGCTCGCTCAATAATCCACTTCCCGTCTGCATCTTCGGTAGTACTAATGTCACCAGGTATGTTATTATGGGGATTGCCGTCGATTACTCCCAAATTCGTTACGGTAACGGAATGGCCTCTAGGCTTTTTCGCCCATTCCTTAAACAGAGCCCGGTAGTCAGGAATAAACTTGATCAACCCCATTACGTCGTTCTTGGTTCCGTCATCTAGTCGCTTCTGTATGGCCGTGCGGGTTCTCTCCGCGGTTTCCCAGATGAGTGGTTCGAGTCCTCCTCTGTCTCCTCCTTCGCCTGGTCCCAAATGCCCAACTTGAGACATATTGGCTGTCCTAATCTTAGCAACCCACCTCGCATCGAACTCGTGGTCCAGCGACGTCATAAAGTTTCCCATGGTCTTCTTCGGATCTATGCCCGACAACTTGGATATCTTCGTTTTTGCCTCCGGCATGCCCATGAGCGGCCTTAGGTTTATTATGGTGCAACTAAGGAACCCGCGCGCCTCCTCGGCTGATAACCGTGTCGCTAGGCTTAGGTGCGCGATGGATTGTATCAGTCCCGTCAACGTTGTTTTATGATTCCGGCAGGTAGCCAGAACGTTCTGGAGTGGATCGTTGTCGACACTAAAGTGCCGGTATTGCGTCACGTACGGCTGTAGCTGAATTGGCGCCCACGTGGCGTGTAGCCCTGACTTCGAGATGGATGCTAGCCGCGGCGGCTTGAACTCATCCCACAGCGTCGCCAGCGCGTAGCCCGGCGTGATGGGAAATTTGGTCAACGCATGTAACGACGGGGGCAGATCCCTCCGCTTGGAGGGCGGGATCGTGAGGACTCGGTCTCGGAATTCTTCCAGCGCAAAGTCGCCGTTCAGGTTCCGAAGCAGATTTTCGTGGAACATCTTGGCGCTCATCCCGTCGATATGCGCGTGTCCCCACTCGAACACGACATCCAAAACCCGTTCGCCTTCGACACGTAGCACGAGAATCCGCCATGACGGCCTGTCTTCTGGCTGCGGGACTTTGATGTTGAGTCGACTTTCAATCAACTCCAAAAGCTCGGATTCATACTCTGCCGTCTTGGCGAAGCAGCGCCACTCGACATGGCGGCGAAAGTCGACGGCCTCGAGTTCGACGAATGCCGGCTTACGCTCGTGCTCACCGCGTAGCCCGACCCGTAAGAACGGGTGATCTGAGACGACTTGGGCGATAGCTAATTCGACCTTCCGTTCCAGCTTTGTATGCAAATCCGGATCCTCATCTAACCCTACCGAGAGGATTGTGGGAATGGAGTACCGACATGTAACCATAGAGCTGTGGTAAAGGCCTAACGAATGCATAGCCGCTTCGTACCGTTCCCTAGCACGTATGAATGTCGGGGTCGACTCAGACGAGGGGGTATTCAGGCTTACACGTAACCAAGTGGTCTAATGACCTTGGCCTTGGGTCGCTTGGTTGGCGGCCGCTCGCCTTCTTTTGGGTTAATCATAGCTACTCTTTCCAAGAGTCTTATCGCAGTACTTTTTCCTGCTATAACGGAGCCCGTCTAAGGAGAAGCCGCTATAGTTCGTACCAGCAGTTACCAGCTAGCTCGTACAGGAGATCGCCAACGTATTTTCGATTAGGTGGGTGAGGAGATATGTAGCAGTAGTCCAAATGCCAGTTATCTGCACATATAAATCTGATGGCGAAAACTCAATACTGGACTTTAGGCAGGCACCTATAAGGACGAATCCATGTCAACCTTTCCACGGGCTCGGCCTCCTCGGCGGCCGAAAACACGACGGAGCAACACTTAGGAATCAGGACATGGTGACGGAACGGGGTGGCGCAGCGGGGCTGTTGCATTGCCGTCGTTTCAATGAACAAGTGAATCTATGGGGACTTAAGAGCTCGCTCGTTAGTCTATCTTTCCAGGTATTTGAATGGCTCAACATTGTTAATCGGTTCAGAGGGGATCATTCCCCCCTGCTGGACTCGGGTTGAGGCCAATTAGAACTTGGCTATCTCTAAAGAATTAAATCAATCCCATGTAAGCATGTAAGCATGTCATATTGAACTTGGGTCGATTCATACTCGATATATATTTCATTTTTGCCCTGCTTCCTTTATTTCAAATCTATACTAGACAGATGAGTAGGCAGAAGACCACTTACTAGGTAAGAAAATGTATTGCGTATCTTCGTCATCTCCAGCGGCTGTACGAGCGGCAGAGCAGTCCTCACAATAGAATATAAACGGGAACTGGTTGACCAGGTAGGTACCGGAGTTCGACATATGATAATCATGCACCGGTTTGATGCCAGGCGAAATATATGTCTAAGCATATGAGTAAACTAATGCAACACGACCACACAACCATACAACCACAAGCCCTCAACGGGAGGAAAACGTGATAAGCGAACAACCTTTTCCCCGGCTTAAAAATGAACCGCACCGCAAGCTCGCCTTTCTAACTCCGTGAGATGCAACGTCAAGCCCCGATGATGCTCCCGCGACGACCAAAACAAATTGGATGGATGGAATATGTACAGGTAGATCGATAGGTAAGTAGTCCGTTTATGTGACCTCGTCACTCGGTTCTTGCTTTCTTGTTCCGGCCGCGCTTGGCAAGGAACTTTTCACGGCCGCCGACACTTTCCCAGTATTGGTGGAGAGCTTCTGGCGCGATCTTCCTCAGCTTGGGTTCGGCCTCTACTGAGGTTTCGCCACGAGTGGGAGGATGGCCGACCCATTGGACTTCGAATTCGAAACCACCTCTCGTCTTCTTCTCGTGGCCAAGAATTTTGAAGACATGGTAAGTCTCCGGTGGCGCATTCTTAGGCTTGATGAAAAGCGCATTGATGCGACCACCTTGCGCCTTCCAGTAGGTGTATAACGTCTCTCCGGCGCCTCGCTGTATCTCCTCTTCCAACTCCCACGTCGCCTCGTCCTCCTCCTCCCCAGCCCAGTGGACGAGAAGTTCGACCTTTCCGCTGCCATCTGAGGCCATCCGGTGTTCGAGGAGGGAATAAACCTCGTGTTCCTCGCGTTCGTCGACCTCGGTCCGTTCCTTTTCCGCATCATCTAATTGAGTCGCCTTCGCTGTGCCTTTCTCGTTACCCGCGTCATGGATCTTATCGACGGACCTGGATTCATCTTTGGATTCTTTGGCGGGGTCATTGGAAGTTGTACTGATATTGTTATCGGTAGAGGATTCTGCTCGCCAGATATCATGAGTCAGCCGCCTGGTAATACGTACGGTATCATCGGGAGAAGGAGATGCTTACCAGGCAGCCCCATATCAGCTACTGGAACGAGTGAGCTTTTGGTGTATTCCTCTTCGTGCTGACGTTGTAACCGTGTTGCTTGCGTCTCTCGTGAGCGAGTGTTGTTTTCGGATGCGTTGGCGCGAGACCCATCAACGGTATCGTCCTTTCGTACTCCCAGAGAGCGACTCCGACGCTCTGTTCCGCACGTAAGCTACGGTCATCACAAAGAAAAAGGAAAGGAACCCTATAGAATTTTCAACATACTATTAGGCTTTCCTATCGAAGATGGCCGAGCCTTGATACTAGAGCTCGGTGCCTCGGAAGAGATGCGCGATCTGGTTCGTAGGTTAGAAGGTGTCTTCTGAACCGGTTCATCTGTTTGTGCAAGTTAGTCGACGTATATCGGCATATAACTATCTAAAAAACAAAACAAAACATAATAAAATAAAACAAAAGCAGGTATAGAGCTTTGAATATCCTCATACCGTCGTCTATTTCGTCATAAGGGTCGCCCTTAGCTTTGCGCTTCATGCCGCGCGACTCTTTGTCGCCGTTTACGGATCCGGGCGCGGGCGACTTAGCAAACATGTTGAGGATTGCGGGCATCATAGAGCAGGAGGAATAGAAGAAGTATAATCAATTGATTTGATGGACAAGGTATGTATTACGGAAAATGGGGATGGGTATCGCCCAAAGCTGGTGATGCCTGCGATGCCTGCGATGCCTGCGATACCTATGGTGACGTTGGTGAAGTCGGTGATGCTTCAGAGGGAAAGCTTGGGAAGCTTTCTGGCTCTGAGATAATCAGCACTGACTTTAGCATGTACGTATGTATGTACCTAGTAGAAGTGGCGCGGCAAGGGTGGAACCGCGACTTTTTGTTGTCCAATGCTAGAATGACGAAAAGAAATACCAAGACTGATCTGTACTTTGGTATCCTCTACCTTTTCATGGCTTGGCTTTACCACCTATTGACAAAGTATTTCTTACCATGTGTCAGGCCTCCAAGCTACCGGCCCTACCCCGGCAAGGGAGTTCTGGAGCAGCTCCAGAGTTATGTATCAGGTACATATTCACCTACCTACTTCCAGTTGAGTACCTACCTACCTACATACTACCTTGTAGGTGGCCAGTGCTTTAGCTGTTCTATTTCAATCTATAACCAACCTCGCACTTGAAGTCCGCTATAGTTGAATTGATTTCACTTATGATCAGTACCACCACCACTACCACCACCCCCTGAGACCTTCTCCTTTCGCCGTTTATCTGACCGAACTTAACTCACAATCCCAATCATCTCGATGGTATAAGGGCCAAAATATCAATTCTTGATTACGTGAGATATCAGTTTGTTTCAGCTCATCAAGGTCAATCAAGGTGTTCGCGCAACATTGAAAAATGACTCCGGCACGACGAGGCGTAGCACCTGTGAAACCGTAAGCGTGCCTAAGTCCCCAAATTGGAATTCTACCTTCCGGCAAATCAGATCCATCTGTGGTTAACGGGTGAGATCGAGACATAATCGTAGGTCTTGGTACCTTGGGAAAAGGCCTTTGGTGACGGCATTGCTCGCTATGCCGTTGGTAATTTCATGTGACCGACAGGGGGAGGAGCGGCTATGTAATATCCATGACGATTGGCATTAAAAAAAGAAAATAATAAAAACCAAAAGGAGCCCTAGCCACTCGATCCTTTCCTCCTTACATTCACATTTCAGTGGCGCAAAATCATTCGAGCTATATCTCCATCACAGAATAAACGCATGTCTTGAACTTCTGCCATGGCGACAAGCCCTGACTGGTTATGTGGTTGATCAATTGCCAATCAATAGATCTCGAAGAGTTCGTGAAAGATGTGCCCCCTTACGCGATCCTGTCCCACACCTGGGGCAATAAGGAGGTGACCTTCACCGACATGAGCAATCGAGATAGAGCATCCAAAGAGGAAGGTTACCAAAAGATCAAGGCTACTTGCAGAGTCGCATTGGAACACGATCTCAAGTATGCTTGGGTGGATACGTGTTGTATCGATAAGTCCAGCAGCGCCGAGCTGTCGGAAGCTATCAATTCCATGTTCGCATGGTATAAGAATGCTACCGTCTGTTTTGTCTGGCTGTGCGACTTTACCTGCTTCTCGGACGAGACGCTGGCCGAGGCCATAACGTCATTCGAATCTCGGGAGGCCCTGGATGCGAAGGGGGGAGGATTCTACGGAGATCCTCCTCAACAGACGGTCGCAGAGATCGACTTGCGAAATAGAGTCAAGAAGGGCCTCGGCAACTGTAAATGGTTCTCCCGCGGCTGGACGTTGCAAGAGCTGATTGCGCCGAGTCGAATTAACTTTTACGACAAAGAATGGAATTACTTTGGTTCGAAGCTTGAGCTGGCTCCTGTTCTCTCGTGGATTACCGGCGTCGACACGGGCGTCCTAAGAGGTAGGCCTCTCGACGAAGTCTTAGTTGGCCGTCGCATGTCCTGGGCATCAACCCGTACGACGACAAGGGTAGAGGATATTGCGTATTGCCTGCTTGGCATCTTTGATATCAACATGCCACTGCTATACGGCGAAGGCAAGAAAGCCTTCATCCGGCTGCAAGAAGAAATTATCAGGTCCAGTCATGACCTTTCAATATTTGCCTGGAAGGCCGATGTGAGTGACCTGCGTCGTTTCCGCGGGTTGATGGCCAACTCCCCAGCCGAGTTCAAGGGTTGCCAGAGACTTGTGAAGCCGTCGTTCGAGTGGAATAATGGGGGTGAGTATGGACTCACCAGTCGTGGTCTACGCACGGATGGCTTGGTTAGGATTGGCCGAGGAGAAGCGGGTCAGGCGGGCAGCTATTTCATGTCGCTAGGCTGCGTCGACGAACGCCAGAAGAAGCTTGTCTTAGCCATCTCGCTGCGGCAATACGGCCCCGGCCTCTTTGCTAGGAGGAAGCCTTGGCCTATGATCACAGTCTTCGACTTGAACGTATACTCGGCAGCAAAGCTCGCTCATCCGCAATATATATGTTGCAAGGATAGCCCTTCTCTGGAAAATACAGTGATGAACAGCCGCATCAATGCGATCCAGATTAAGTTCACGGATTCTATCTTCGACGTCGACAGTGTCACAGCTTTTCCGCAAGCTGACTGGGACTTGAGGAATTCCATATTACTTAGCTTTCAGCGCCCGTATTATTGGGGCTTGTGGAAAGTAAAGGTCAGAGATAGCGATGATGGCATCAGCATTGTCTGCGTACGGTCATCCGGGTGGCTTCTCTACGGGATCTTCGCCTCAAATCAGATCCCTTCTACTCTCACTCGAGATGACCTCCTTCCATCGCATGTCGAAGATATCTTACAGCGATTACCTGACCGGACGACGACAGAATGTTCAGGGTTTATTCACACGGTCAAAGATGTCCATCTTGACCTCGGGGAGACAGGCATAGAGATTCCGGCCACGCTGCTTCAAGTAAACAGCGTCGAGAGCAAGCATTCGAAGCAAGGTCGCTCTAGGATAAAACTCGTGCAAAGCTTCTTCAAGAAGAGTAAATCAATGTAAGTTAACCCTATCGAATGTTATATTTTGGGATGAATTTTGGAGGATTAGTCTATAAATGTATAAATGCCACTGTACATATTACTCTACCTATATGGGCATGAACTGTAAGAAACATCCACCCATCGAAAGTATAATAGATCAGATATAAGGTTATGCTTTCGCAGCATTTTAAACTCAATACCCACTGCACCCTGTACCTAGGTACGTACCTAGGTGGTTAACCAAATAAACCTACCTAATGTATATAATTAGGAATGGTACCTGACGTACTAAGTACCCAGCGACGCAAACTTGCGAACCAATAAGAATGTGCGATGCCTGCCTGTACGCGGGGGAGGGGTAATTCCAGAGCCTAATATTTTTTTTTTCTTCCCTTCCCTTTTCTTTACATGAGTCAGACAGGGCCGATAACTTTTAGGCCTTTTAAATCCAACAAAATTCCAACACCAAAGTCGCATCTTCATGAACATCGGCCGGTGTTTACTCCATAGAACTATTATTGTTCGCGCGATCCGGTCCCTTCGACAACCACAATCGAGGGAAGCTCATTACACCCTCTCCAGTCCTAACAACCTCACTCGCGATACCCAGTTCAGCCCTCGTCTATCCGTCCTCCAGAGACGCGCCGTTGGTACTATGGCGCCCGCCAACGGAATAAATCACCTTCTTTCGAAGCTAGACAACCTGACTCTCGAATCTATCGCCGATAAATACCCTGCGACGTACCCCGAAGTCAACCCTTTCGATCTATATCGGGTACACATTGCCGAAGTCCTCGCTCCTATCACAAGTGTTGCGGCTGAGAATATCCGCCCTGTCCTCTCCTGGACAAATGCTCTCGACAAGGGAGACTTCATCTTACCTATCCCCGCCCTCCGGATAAAGGGCGCAAAGCCTGACGCGCTAGGAGCCGAATGGGCAGCCAAAGTATACGACAACCACTCTTGATTTAAGCACTGAGTGCAAGCGCAAGCTATCTATGCAATGTAGAAGATTAGCTAACCAGAAGTTCGAATAGTTCCCCGAAGATGATCCTCTCTTTGAGAAGCCAGTCGCCACCGGTTCCTTCCTCTCCTTCTTCGCCAAAGGCGGACCCCTTACTCAGTCGCTCATCCCCATGATCCGGGAGCTTGGCGCAGACTATGGCCGGAATCGCTTTCTTGGATTAAAAGACCCTAAGAACCCGGGTGCAGGCAAGAAGCGCATTGTTGTCGAATTCAGCTCTCCCAACATCGCCAAGCCATTCCACGCCGGACATCTCCGTTCTACCATCATCGGGAGCTTCTTAGCAAACCTATACGAGGGCGCCGGCTGGGATGTAGTCAGAATCAACTACCTCGGTGATTGGGGTAAACAATACGGTCTCCTAGCTCTAGCCTACGAGAGATACGGAGATGAGGACGCACTAAAAAAGGACCCGATCGATCACCTGTTCCGTCTCTATGTCCGCATAAACGCTGAGAAGGATGAAGAATTAGCTACAATCGAGGCGAAGAAGAAGGAAGGCCAAGACGTTACTGAACTCCTATCCAATAGTTTAGATGAGCAAGCCCGAGGGTACTTCAGGAAGATGACCGACCGGGACGAGAAGGCTCTGGCATTGTGGCAGCGCTTCAGGGATTTGAGTATCGTCCGCTACAAGGCTACATATGCGAGACTTAACATCAAATTTGACGAATACAGCGGTGAAAGTCAAGTTAGCGAGGAGGCTATGGAGAAGGTGGCCAAGGAGATGGCTGAGAAGGGCGTCACTCGAGAAGATCAGGGTGCCGTCCTCGTCGACTTCACCCAGCTTCTACCAGGCAAAGAAGGTAAGCGCCTTGGTAAGGCCGTCATCCGGAAAAGGGATGGTACAGCTTTATATCTCACTCGAGATATTGCCGAACTCCTAGGTCGCTACGAGAAATACAAGTTCGATCACATGATCTATGTTGTCGCAAGTCAGCAGGATCTCCATCTGCAGCAACTCTTCAAGATCATCGACCTACTGGGCTATAAGGACATCGCTGCTCGTTGCCAACATATCAACTTTGGATTGGTACAGGGCATGAGTACCCGGAAAGGCACCGTCAAGTTGTACGTCTCCTAATTCGCCACTTTGAAGACCAACCTGGCTAACGAAATTCGCAGCCTAGACGACATCCTTAGGGATTGCGCCGATCATATGCATGAAGTCATGCGGAAGAATGATGCCAAATATTCTCAGGTGGAAGATCCAGAGGGCACCGCTGATACCCTTGGCATCAGCAGTGTAATGACGCAGGATATGAGCGGCAAGAGGTTCGTATACAGACTCCTTGGGTGAAATGAGGACTGACATAGATGACGGCTAGGGGCAACAACTACACTTTTGATCTGGCAGTGATGACGTCGTTCGAAGGGGATACTGGCCCCTATTTGCAATACGCACACACCCGCTTATCATCCATCAGGCGCCGGGCCAATGTGACTGACGAGGAGTTGGCCAAAGCCGATTTGACCCTCCTTACCGAACCCCACGCTGTGAATGTCGTCCGTCTACTGGCCCAATGGCCTGATGTGGCCCAGAATACGCTGCGGACTCTCGAACCGACTACAGTCGTGACGTACCTTTTCAGGCTGACACATGTCATCAGCAGTAGCTACGACCAACTTCAGGTCGTGGGCAGTGAACCGGCTCTAAAGGCAGCCAGAATGGCACTTTACGATGCCGCCCAGATAGTTGTCGGGAACTGCATGCGCCTGCTTGGGTTGAGCCCGCTTCAGAGGTAAGTTTTCAACGCAACTGCTGAAAATGATGTTCTAACGTTCGCAGGATGTGAATGAAGGCAATTGCGCCGATCGGATGTTGTCATCCGACATACCTTCACTACAAAGCGTACTCGTGCCCGTATGCAACGGTCTATTAAACCGCATGGTGAGACCGTCAGATGTTCTGCCCAATACCTAGCAATGACGAATCTCTCGCATCTATTTACTACATCTATCGGGGAAAGTCCCGCTTATCTGCCCCCTATTCATGCACCGTATACAGGCGCAGCCCGATGTCCTAGATATCGGTACTATTGTTAATTTCCTCTCAATCAATACGGTGGGATCATAGCTAAAGACGGAAAGCCATGAATTGAGACGCCTGGAGATAACTGCGCTTAGGATGTTCTGGGATACCCATAACCCTATGGTATTGGCATTGCGCACGTCCTGCTTATACCAGAATGAATAAAACACAATAGCACTGCTAATTATCATTTACCATCGTAATGCCTATTCCATCTTTGTTTCGCTAACAAGTTCTTTAGTCATATATTCCATACTATTGTGCCTATTCATATTAGTACTAGGTAGCTATTAGCTCCAGTACAAACATCCACAAGCAAGCAGGCGGCTATCGCGGCTAACAACGCGAGATCAGTATAAGCCTTAGCATATATGCTCTTAATATGGACATTATTAGCCTTTCAAAGACCCAAACGACTTCGTGACAAGCAAAAGGGTACTCGATGTTATACTTAGTCTCTAATCAATGAACACCGCTTCTTTTATGAGACTACTTAAAAAAATGAAATCAAAGCATGCCGCTATAGTTTAATCCCGAAAACAAGGTACCGGTTATCATCTGTGTAGGTTTCGTTTATCTTCCCATCTCTGAGTATTCGCAGCTCGCCCCAGGAGCTTCCTCCGTCAATCATATCAACATTTGTGCTTAGACAGGGAAGCGAAACGCAAGATCCTCACCAGAGAATTCTTCGCCCAATATCCAATTCGAAGAGCCGTGTTCCAGTTCGGGGTTTCCGCCTGTCTGGAAGCGACCTATCCACTGGTTGGATTTAACGAGAACCTGTCCTAGAACGAGAACTGCTACAGACGCTCCAATCTCTAAAGTTATCAGAATACCAAGGTGTCTAAGGATGGAGGCTCGGCCATTCTCGTGGATATCCACCGGAGTCGTGTATATGCCATAGGCATTCCCCAGGCTCAACATACTACTGGCGATCGCGATACAGGCTGCTCTTTTTGGTCGGTTCCAAGGCAGGCAGTTCAATAGCCAAGCCCATGCGATAGGTAAACAGAAGTAGGCGCACGGGAGGCATACATGAACCAGGAGGTGGAGGGAGCCAGCCGGCTTTCGTCCAGTGATGGCAGTAAGTGCAGTGAGTGAGGTAAAAAGAAAGGCAACACATTGAAATGTAAAGAGCCAATCACGTCGCCTTTCAGACTTGTACGCGCAATATCCGCCGGCATAGACTGCGACACAGCATAGCTGCCACTCTATTAGTTATCTTTATGTACATGAGGTATGTTTCCAAGGTCGGCTTACTGATGATATAGTCACAACCCAACCAGAAACTGCGTCGGGGGGCACAATTGGCGTGAGTAAAAGGTGTGCGTGATGGAGGTCGCTTAAGTACGGAATCGGAAACGAGATACAGAAGCATACCGAAGCCTAGCAATCGCATATCATTAGGTACCTAGGTAGAATCGTGGTATATCGGGGGTCTGAACTTACTAAGAGCCAAGTCTTGGGATCTATAATAGCTGATATCAGACCTCTGTAAGAGTTGTGCCAATTATTTTTTTGGTTCTCGTACTCAGTTGTGCGAGGCCATCGACATGATTGAGCTAGACGAACTACGACCACTCGACGCTCGGTCTCCGAAAGCTAGTCGGTTGACCGAGGGAGTTGAGGTAGCCATAAGCCAGTTAAAGCGGCTAAAAGAACAAACATTCCAGATATTCTCAGATAATATTCATAGCCTAGGCTAATCCTTCCCGATGCACCAATAGGGGCGAGATCGGATCCAGAATCGGGAAAGTCTGAACCAAGAGCATGGGCCACGATAGCACGAACAACTGGTCCTGCAATGACTAAAACGGCCATTTTCTTGCTTATTTCCCTGGGAGTGTACTAACAAGACAGGATATGCAAAAAGCCAGGCTAATTGAAGTCAGCATTATTCGAAGTTAGAGGTCTTCAACAAGTCAGGGGCACCAACGAAAAAGGCCGATTCGAATACACCTAATAATGCGCAACAGGCGCAAACATGACCGAGGGTATATTCATAACTTAGACGTATCTGAACTGCAGCCCAAAAGCATAGCATGACGCAAAGATAAGTTGCTGGTTTGTCGAGCATGCTCAGAATCAGGTTCGAGGGGACTTTGAAGGAATCAGCCCGGCGAAAAGCCAATTACTATGCTAGAGACTGACCTTGGGCTGCAAAATAGGCAATTTCTTTGACAAATGCAGCTAACTAAAGCCCGTGTAAGTCAAGTATAGTTAAATCAAGCCGTGTCTAGCTCCACATCTCACGGACCTTGAAATCCGCCTCAGTGAGCCCCAAGATTCTCTCAAAGTACGGCTGGCAGAGGAAGAAGAGTAGGCGATCAAGTTGAAGACAGCACCCTACAGAATTTAGCATCAGCGTGGGAAGCTGCATTTGCTTCTAGAGCGAGTTTGGTGGTAGAGGCTCACCCATAAGGAAGAGGAACGGTACAAAGGCTCCATCGAGACGTTGAGGAATAATTTTTTTCAAGGATTGGTCTTCATCGGAAAGCGTTGTATAACTGGGCGGCGGCGGCGACTCCTGATTTGACGGGGGGTTTGGCGGTGAAAGGACTGGCGGATGGACGGCTGGGATAGGGTGTACCTCACTAGGCACGTCAATAGGCACGCCAACACGTACGTCAGGGTTGAGGTCCTGAAGTTCGATACCATCCCTTTCTAGCCCATGTCCCACTCCATTGGCTGCTGGATGCAAAGTAGGCGGTGGCCAATTGGACATGGCAGGCGGTCGATACTATACCCAGTCAAAGCAAACGAGAGAAAGGATGCGGGATTGATGAGAAGATATCCTAAGATAACTACTCAGGTAGATGCTAGCGTAGCTTAACGAATGATGGTTGGTGAAATACGTCGATGTTGAATATTTTAGAAAGACAGAAGAGCCCTGGAGGAGGTGCTAGGTACCTAGGTAGTTACTTTTAATATTGCTAGCCAGATATAATGCTTCAATGTTTCCATTTTGATTGGTTGTTACACCCCTGTCCTTTCCTGTTTAGGATACATCGTACATATAGGTATGTTGGTAGAAGAATTCATGCCTACCTTCGTGTAACTACCCAGAACCTACATACATATTGATGTACCGAATATTTATGGATGTAGAGTACATGCATCAACGTATATGTACCTAGCTATGTGCTTAATCGACATGACTAACCCGTTTCTTACATACCTACTCCCCCCAACTTGCATGAATCAACTGTGTCCCCCACGTCGGCAGGTTGGATGAGAAAAGGGGGTTGGAAAAGTTCGAAAGTTCCCCAGCTCTGCGGCGCCACATCGCATTGGCCCACTGTTCCCCCGCCTAGAACTTCGACGTGCGGATATGCCAGGTCATGGGGGAAAAATAGCCTGGAGTCAACAACCAAGAACCCCACATCTCCACAGAGCTACACGATATATGGGGTAGCGTCCAGTAGCTATGTACTGCTAGGTAAGTAGAATTATCCTTTACCAGTGGGACGTCCCCGGTAGATTCCACGTAGTAGAGGGCTAGGTATGCAACTTTTCGTACCCCCGGGCGTCAATTTGCATTCCCCTAAATGGGAACACGAGAAAAAGATTCAAATTCGAATGTCAGAAATTCCCCACATAGAGCTATTCCTGTTTGATCGTGGGGGTTTCTCTTACTCTAATCCTAGAAAGCCATCGCCGAGTACCGCAATGCTCCATTCATAGGAGGCGCTCGAGATTCGAACAAATTTTAATAGCAAAACACCTCAGGGCCACATCAGCTCGGGTTCACCTTCGATGTAGGACTTTAGATTTTAGAACCGTTCTGGGGTCTTTACGGAAATCCACACAGGGACGGACACTTCATGGTTGGAAATACTCTGGAGCCAGCTGGCCAGGACCGGTGAGATCTAAACATGTATGAAAGTGGCGTAAATCCTTACAAGGATATCCAATTGACCGAGTTCGGTTGACGAATGTCCAAAGAGCTACTTAATATTACATAGTCAAAATTAGGGCTCCATCAGCTAGGGCAAGCTGCGAATAGCTACGATGTTTTTTGTTCATCTTAAGAATTACGATCTTTTTTCTGCCCCTTTTTGCCCCTTTTCGTCCCTTCATTTGTTTATCATCTCGGAAGTTCTGGGTTTGCCCAAAGCCACATTAATAGCTCAGGTTTGCCCCAACGTTCGTGTCCCATTGATCCAACTTCTGTCAGACTACGTACTCATTTGAACATGGCTTATGAAAGATACATTGCTCGTATGACGCTTCGCGGCACTGATGTTGACGACACATTTCCAGAACGACACACATTGGACTCGCCACCCGAACTTAGGTCTCAGCCTGATGCCCTTGATGAAGATGGACCTGTCTACAATACAACAAGACCGTTCCGAAGACGATCAAGACGTAGATCAGAGAGTATTGAAGGGTATGAGATGAGAGACCGTTACTGGGAGGCTATGGATATTATCGACCGAGACCTCAAGGGGGCAGCCAAAGCGCCAGCTGTTTGGGATTACGTCTATGACCCAGTTTGCCTACCTCCGTCTGGGGGAATCAAGACACCCGTCATCCATCGACTCGGAAATCTGCCAATCCGAAGAGCTTGGAGGCGTCGTAATAGTCGCGAGAGGCCCGATTTGGGTTCAACGCGAAATGTCGAAGCTGTCATGCTATATGAGAGAGGTATGATGCTTTCCCAACAGTCACAATGTACGCACTGCCAGCGAGGTCGGGGTATATCGCCAGGCTGCGTAGTTATGGAGCCGGGGGATGAAATTCAAGAGACAAGCGACAGCATTGGCGAACTTAGTTCGACGTGCAGTAACTGTCACTACGATGCGCGGGATAGCCAATGCGATGTGCGGATACCTTCCTCAGGGCCAAAACTACCTTCCAGGACACAGACTCCAAGCCAGATCAAAAAGTCATTCGCCTCGAACCCGGTACACCTAGAAGTGCTAGATCTAGTTGACAAGGCGTTGAAAGTGAGGAGCGGCGATGGGAAAGACGACGTGGTTGCCCGGGCGAAGCAGATAGAGACGGCAGCTCTGGAGATCGCGCAAGCAGCGCACGAGTGGGGACAGAGCATCAAGGAGAAGCATCAGCGGAACATAGACTCAACAGAACATACAAGTTAATATATCATTCTTACACACAGGACAGTTCGTACCATATGTGATTGTCCACTCGATGAAAGCGGATTTGTGAGACCTACACTTAACATATCTTAGGTACCACCGGAGCAGATGCATAGCGAGTTTCCCGTCGCCAGAACGAGTATACAATCATAGCGATGCCATTCCTGTATATACTAGAATATTTTGTCAACTGGGTAGTCATAAATTAAGACACGTTGTTTCTCGTACTAGGCAGTCTTGTGGCCTTGTCAGGGCTCCGCTACGCTGCATCTGGGACGGTGCGCCAATGCATTAGTTATTGTGGGTTATGTGTGTTTTATGGGTTTAGTCATGTATTGAGTTTCTATGTTCTGTTTCGTTTTTGCAGAGGAAGGTTCTTGAACCTGAAGACTAGGGCAGATAAAAAAAAATAAAAAAAGGAGGCTTCATGAGCCTCCTTTATATTATACCGCCAAGCCTTATCACCTAGGTAATTAACTGTGAAAGTATCCTGCTTTCCTTTACCATATACGGCTACGATGTAAACTTCTATCCCCATGATGGACTCTCTTTCTCGTACCCTCGGCCATGTTGCAATGGAGTTCTAATCTCGATCGGCCATGTCCATCTTCATTAATGTCGTCTGACAACCTGATATATGATGTGATAATCCCTTCAAACTATAGGATATGCCTTGATTTTCCCGGTTCTAACCAGTATACCTTATCTAAGATTCCCGCGTTCCCGAATGCGGCGGCTATGGCCTCTTTGCTTTGTGAAAAATGGTTCCACGACTCAAAGTGCAAAGGCACTAATATATCGGCCCCAATGTCGCGGAATAGCTTTGCGCCTTGCGTCCCATCCATCGTGATCAGCAATGGCTCGGCGCTGCCTGGAAGTACCACTGACGCAGCACCTAGATTGAACAAGGCTAATGATATGTGGAAGTTGTCTCTGATATGAGATAGTTCTTGAAGATAGACGGTATCGCCGGAGAAATAGATCGCGTTCGGTAATCCATTTGTCGTCCCAAAATCTGCCGTCGTAAGTACAAATCCTGTACACTCACCCCCTGGCAAATGTTGGCATGGTGTAGCTGTCACGTTGAAGAGTTTGCTTCCCACGTTTAGAGTGGTGTTCTCCCAGGGCCGAAGTCCTTGGATGCCAGGCCTAGGGCTCATTTTGGAGGCACCATCGACCGTAGTAAGGACACGCCGGCCGTCGAGTAGACGATCACGGCTTAGTATATCCAAATTATCGGGATGGTCTTCGTGGCTTAACAAGATGGCATCGACGGGCGGAAGCTGATCTAGGGATAAGGCCGGTTCATAATGGTTGGTGAGTGTAGCAATTCCAACGTCCCACTCAGTTCCTTCGGGAGAGAAATAAGGGTCGGTGAGGAAGATGACGCCATCAATTTCTATGATTGCTGTCGCAGTGCCGACATACGTGACGGAGACTCTGCTTTTGAAAGGTGAGTCAACCATATTGTTTAGTATTCGAGTTGTTGCGTTAGAAACTTTCAATCACTTGAATTTCCTGACTTTTTATTTACTCTACGTACATATTTCAAGATACTTATATTTATCTACCAACCTAAGGGGCTCATAATCTCCACACACGTAACGAGTAAGAATAATATTGAGTAAATCGTATGACAAACTTAAACGATGATATTAAGTAATGATATGCAACTTATAGCTACTGCTTACTACGCATTCAAAGAATACCATTTGTATTTGTAAGATAGTTACTAAAAGCCTTACATTACTAGCTCAGGAGATCGCTGGCTAACGGTGCAGTGGTGGTAAATCAATGGCATCGATCATTAGCGCCGACATTGCGGGAATATGTTACAAATCAAGTTTCTCGAATAGTACCTAGGGGAGTCGGGTTGACTGATACCTACCAGGGTCTTTCCAGGCTATATACCATATCCCTTTAGTCAACATAAGACTACAGCTCCACCATGATCAGTAACTGTACTTCCAGCAACCCCTGAGTTCCACTGGCACCCACAAAAGCTTTCTTCTAGTTGGTTAGACGCTTCTGAAGATCACTGCGAGAGCCTCAACACTTACAGGCTTAAAGGGCCTGCGCTATCGCCGATGTACAGTTGCCGGGTTTGTGGAAACTGTAGTCTTATGCCAAAGAGATATACCATATATTCCCTGGATTTAATGACCCACAGGACTGGTCCGCCAAGAAGCTCTAGTAGCTCTCTTGTAGAGAATATTCCTCTGATACTCAAATCACAATTGACAACCTATCTATTTTCGATGTACGTACAAGAAGGAATTATTACTCTTAGTATATTGCTCACATATATATACTCTTTCCAGAGTCCCCAAATTCTAGGGATGATGAACATATACTGACATTTGGGCCTTAACACGGCAAGAAATGTGATATGCTATCCTAAAAATAAAGCAGCATATTCAACAGGTATTTCAAGGCCAAGATAATAATATCTCCTTGTAAATAGTAGAGAAGATATGCCGACATCATCTACAGTGTAGTTTTATGAGATGCGTCTCGAGCTACCCAAGAGTGTTCTGCCTATGTAATTCAGGCCTGTGTCCAGGTGCGACCACAGGCGGCCCTGAGTCCCTATTCCTCGGATGAGGGCATGGTCCATATTGGCCTAAGCCCTTGACAGCATCTAGAAGGAGACTAATTACGATGGGGAACCGCACCGTTCGTAGTCACGGACACTTACCGTCTGTTCTATGTCGCTCAATTGGTTGCACCCAGGCGGCCAGAATTAAGGGGAATTCGGCTAAATCATATGAGATGCATTCAGCTTTCCTTTACGGGAATCGACCCTGAAAATCTGTAACGTAGCCCAGAGTGCCGAGTGAATGTCAATCTTGATATCCAAATTTCCCATCCACTTGGATCTTGTATGAGCATGCGTACGCGCAATCTTCGTCCGTCTTGGTGTGCGGGGACCTCACCGAAGACTCGATCTAGGGCAGCCGGATAAGATGAACGAACGTACATGGAGAATATAAGGCCCTCACTTAAAGACTCACATTTCCTCTACCCTTGAGCTGTTAACGGACCATATCAATATCATTCAAACATCTCTAGTTACCCGTAAAAGTTAACTCATCGTCACGAATATGTTCGGCACCAAGTCAGTGCTTGCCGTCGTTCTACTAGCCGCCACAGCGGTTTGGTCGGAAGTTTCGCCAGACGAAACCTGCGGCACGACAAAAGCCGGTAACAACAAGGGCTACACGTGTCCCAGTGAGAAGAAGTGCTGTTCAGCCAGCGGCTACTGCGGTGCGACGGATGAATACTGCCTTACGACGGTAGGATGCCAGGACAATTTTTCAAACGCAACCAGTGCTTGCATTGAACCTGTCGATGGGGAAACCATCTCTCCGGACGGTACCTGTGGATCTGAAGGTGCCGGCCAGTACGGGTATCGATGTCCTACTGAAGGCGGGACCTGTTGCTCTGCTGCGTATGTCGCTACCCCCCCTAGGTGATCTGACTTGGTTCGCTAGTTGGTTGCGAAGTAGGTAGTTCCATATGCATGCTAACATATCGGCTCTCAAGGGGCTATTGTGGGAACACGACTGATCATTGTCTTACCACGAGCGGCTGCCAGTCGACTTACGGAGAGTGTCAATGATTGGTGGTAGTATGGGTCAGGTCCTTTCCAAGTTTGCGCGTCGCGTTAGAATAAAGGAGAGGGCGCGGAAGTAGGGTTACACATTTGGAAAAACTAAGACAGAATCTACATGGCTTGACACCTAATGGGGATGAGTGCGGTGGTAGAGCATACGTAGATACCTAAGTAACTACTGTGATTCACCCCTGTTAGGCTTCTATCTGTTATTTGCTGGCTTGAGCATTAGGCATGGTTGAAGAAGAAGGAAAAAGAAAAGAAATATACGGCGAAAACGAATTTATACATACATTGCATAGCAAGCATTGGTCTCGAGTTGTCTCTTACCAACCTGGTAGCCAAGGTGGGATCGCGGTTCGGTACTATCGTCCGCCGTCGTCCGCCGTCCGATCGCGGCCTGCCGTATAATGCCCAGGTAGGGTGGGGATTGCAAGTTAGGTACCTTCTAAATCTAGACAACCACCTAGTCAAATAGGTTCAGCCTCATTAACACTATCCAGGAGAATGGTTCTGGTTCACTTCCATGTTTCTGTGTACCATGGCTACTTTATTTCACAATGGACGCTTCTTCCGGTCCGGTTCTAAGGGCGAGGACCATTCTTTTGCGGAGTCCTTGCTTGTCGATGGGTCCGGGACAATCGTTCACATCGGTAATGCGAGCGATGAGCAAATCAGAGTAGCTAATGCTGCCGGGGTAGCCAAGCACGACATGTGCGGCCGCTTAGTCTTACCAGGTTTCATAGACGGGCACATGCACTTTCTGATGCTGGGGCAGTCCTTGCAGAAGGCTGGACTGGAAGCATGCAAGGATCTGCAGGACATCCGGCGAACCATCAAGGAGTTCGCGGCAGCACACCCGTCCGTAGCTCGAATCATGTGTAAAGGATGGATGCACTCCATGACCAACGGAAAGGCGTTAGCGAGCATGATAGATGACTTGGACCCAAGGCCTATCTTCATCGACTCCAAGGACCTACACTCAACGTGGTGCAACGCCGCGGCCCTGGACGAAATGGGAGTGCAAAATATGCCGGATCCAGAGGGCGGGAAGATCCACCGTGACGAGAACGGTAAGGCATCCGGGCTTCTATCCGAAGCGGCTGCTGTCACGATCGTCTGGCCGCATATCGCCAAAGTTGCACCTATGGAAGAGAAGTTAGCTGCATTGAAAGGAGCGGTCGAGGCGTATAATTCAGCTGGCTATACCGGACTCGTACAAATGGCAATGGACGAAAACGCATGGGAGGCGCTGCAAGTGTTACGCCAGATAGAGACCTTGCCGATTAGAATTGCGATCCACTGGCTCATTACTCCTAGAAAGACGGAAGCGGAGAACCTCGCCCAAGTTGACCGTGCGATCGAGTTGAATCGACAGTTCAACGAAGAGACCAGCCCCGACTTCCGCGTTGTTGGTATTAAGATAATCGGCGATGGAATCATCGATGGCTGTACCGCGGGACTTCTAGAACCTTACACTTCAAACGGCGTATCCTGCGACCCTATCTGGTCGCTTGCAGAACTAGGACCCGTTGTAAATAAAGCAGACGCTGCGGGCCTACAATGCGCCTTACACGCAATTGGCGACAAGACCATACAGGTGGCCATCGACGCGCTGGAGCAGAATGCCACTCCCGGTCGCAGACATCGGATCGAGCATCTCGAGCTTGCGTCACCGCAGGATGCCGCAAGGTTGGGTAAGTTGGGCATCACCGCGTCTATCCAACCGGTACACGCCGACCCGGCCATCCTCCGAGCTTGGCCCTCTCTTCTCGGGCCCGCCCGCTGCGAGCGCGCGTTCGCCTACAAAGAATTTGCCGACGGAGGCGCAGTACTTGCATTGGGGTCTGACGCACCCACGGCCCCCCACGCACCACTCAAGAACGTATACACGGCCACGACGCGGCGGTCAGCTAGAGAGCCGTCTCTGTCGGACCGGGTAAACCCGCATTTCGCATTAGAGCTAGCGGCGGCTATCGCGGCAGGGACGGAGGGATCAGCGTACAGCTGCTTTGCGGACCGACGGTCCGGGAGGCTGGAGATCGGACGGATGGCAGATATGGCCGTGGTAGATATGGAATGGGATGCGAATAAGCTGTTGGAAGCAAAAGTTGTACAGACGTGGTTTCAGGGGAAGAAGGTCTTTGACGGCGAAGTGTAAGCTCCGCCAACACAGGTAAAGAATACTTCACGTATTTGCTGCTTCCAAGGTGCTCGGAGGAACAGACCAATTGTAAGCCCTGTCCCAAAAGAGGGCTAATGTCTGTCTAAAAATACAAACGGGCAACTTATCACAGCATTATTCGCGCGGATTATACTAATTTGAAGACTTGATTCAGGATTGTTACCACTACATGTATTTCTCATGATATGTTTCTGTGAACAAAAGTTATCCAAGCAAGTTCCGCGGGTACGCGACATTGGAATCGGCCGTAGACCGGAGCACCTTGCCCCCTCATACCTAAAAAGGGGGCCCCTTTTCGGAATTTGTGGGGCACAAATTCATCGACCACCCGGAGAGATCGGGGCGCACGATATCGTATCAGTAAGTAGTATCGTTTAGTCATGCTTGACATGCCTTTCTTTTCCTTCGTCTTGATTTCTTTATTTTCCTTTGATTTTAAACTTAAATCATCATTAAGGGAATTTTGGTTGATAATCTTTCTGAATAACAAATTAAAGGCTTGAAGGGTTGACTTCTTTCGGAGCCGGGTACGGTACAACAAGCAGTTGGAGATGTGGAGAAGACCGGAGCTTCCGAGTGGCTTCCATTGATATGGCCGAATCATTCCGAGTGCAGTTTCCCTGGAATGATAAGAAGTACGTAAGCAAGTACATAAGATGATATTTAAATTGGAATGTATCTACATCATGGCATACTAAGTACCTACATTGATACTGTCATACATACATACACTACACAGGTACGATAGAAGGTACGCCAACCCCAAGAACCCCAAGAAATAAGCTCCTTGGCCTTCCCTAACAAGTAAAGCGTAGCCTCATTCTTCCCACCTGCCGAGAGAATGGAAAGACCAGCACGGTCCAGTCACGCAACGTGCAAGGTCGTGACATCCATACATGCATAGGTACCCATGTATCTACAGAGAGACGGTTGAAGTATACCTACCAACGTTGAAAGGTGGAGAAGCTCAGAACCGTGGAGCCTTCGATGTTCCAAGATTCCAAGAACATTCGGTTTCAAACTATTCCACCGAATTTTCTTTTTCTATTCGCCTGACCTTCTACTTGTCGCGTCTCACCGGACCTTTGCAGCTTTGCAGATATCCAATTATCACCCAGAACCTATTAGAGCATTCTCTTGGCATCCAATCGTGATTATTCCTTGCCCGCCCTTCCCCTGCCCTTCCCCTGCCCTCCCCGTTTCCCTATGCGATTCTCATTATGACGAGGCCCCGAAGCCCAATCAATGCCTCTCATACGAATACTATGCCCAATACGCCTCACTCACGTCGAGGTTCTCCCTTGGCGCAGGTTGGGCGCTATACCACATAGCGATGGATGAACTTGGCGGCGTTGAAGACGGTCAGTAGGTCGTATTATATCTAACCTCTATCACCTCCCCACGATCTCATCTTGGCTCGGATTGCACAGATCTTCTTAGATCCTCCTCCAGCCACTTTCCAGATTCCCCCATCTGTCCTGGAATAATACTTATCTACCTACTTACCGACACGTGAATGGGTATAGAAGACCAACCTGCTGTCGAGGAGTCGACTGAGCCCCCTATATGTGGCTACGTCGATGCTACACCGGGAACTCCGTCTGGCTTCATAAACCGGACCACAACAACTAACATCGTCAGTACCATAGCTAATTTCCCAAGCTCTCACCCTGACGAGGGATCCGCATTCTCTGCAGCAGGTGGGAGTTACCCCGAACCTCACAAGCTCGCGGTTGAGGATCTAGAGATCATTTTCAACACCGACGTAAAGAACGGCCTCGACGACGATGAGGCAGCTCGTCGCCTTCAGCATGGTGGGCCGAACAAGGTTGAGGGAGCTCAAGGGTTATCCATGTGGAAAATTCTCTTGAGGCAGGTGTCCAATAGCTTGACAGTGGTCCTCATCATCGTTATGGCCCTCTCATTTGCCATCAATGATTATATCGAGGGCGGCGTTATCGCCGCTGTCATCTCACTGAACATCATTGTGGGGTATGTCTCCGTCCTTAGTCGTCGAGACTATCTCTGATACATGAATTCTATCATGAATGTATCGCACTAACTGGTTGTTGGTAGATTTGTGCAAGATTACCGTGCTGAGCAGACTATCCAGTCTCTCTATGCATTGTCTGCGCCGACATGCAAGGTCATCCGTTCTGGGCAGGTCACCAACATCAAGGCTGAAGCACTTGTCAAGGGCGATATCGTACTACTTAATGTTGGTGACATTATCCCGGCGGATCTTCGATTTGTCGATGGCTTGAATCTATCGACCGATGAAGCGTTGCTTACCGGGGAATCTCTACCTGTTAGCAAGCATCCAAAGGCGATTCTGGACGATGCTAACGTTTCTCTCGGTGACCGCGTGAACATGTTGTATTCGGCAAGTTCTGTCGCGCGTGGTCGTGGAAAGGGAATTACCGTCGCAACCGGTATGAGTACCGAGGTAGGCAAGATTGCCCAATTGCTCCGCGCGAACTCTGGCTCGGACGAGAACGTATCTCTGTTAGGCGCCTACTGGAAGCGCATAAAGGCTAGCGTGCGCAGTATTCTGGGTCTAGACGGCACACCCCTTCAGATCAAACTAAGCAAGTTCGCCTTGATTCTATTTTCTCTGGCTGTCCTGCTCTCCCTGATCGTATTTTCTGCTAGCCTCTGGGAAATTGACGATGAAGTTTTGATCTATGGTATTTGTGTGGGCGTTGCTGTTATTCCTGAATCGCTCATCGCTGTCTTGACCATTAGTATGGCTGTCGGAACGAAAGCGATGGCGAAAGGCAACGTGGTCGTAAGGAAGCTTTCTGCTCTAGAGGCCGTTGGGGGAGTGACCAATATTTGCTCCGACAAGACTGGCACCTTAACTCAGGGCAAGATGATCACCAGGAAGATCTGGCTTCGTAATGAATCTATGGCTACCGTTGAAGCTTGCACTGATCCTTTCGACCCGTCCAGTGGAATAATCACCTGGAGTGCTCAAAAGTCCGGATCAGCCGATGGATTGTCAATCTCCCGGCTGCGTCCATCGACGAGGAAATTTATGGAATGTCTGTCTCTATGCAACAATTCAACAGTGACGGACGGGAAACCGGCACCGGATGAGGACACTGCTGAGACCCTGACCACCTCAACTGCTGCAATCTCGAGTTGGACGGCGGTTGGTGAACCGACTGAGATTGCTCTCCATGTTTTCGCGATGCGCTTTGGCATGAGCAAAGAAACCGTTTCTCAGACGAATGGTGTACACCTTCTAGCGGAGCATCCTTTCGATTCTTCCTGCAAGCGCATGACCGTTGTATACTCGACCCCCGATTCCGGCTCGGTCGACGTATATACTAAGGGCGCCTTAGAAGTCATGCTGCCACTGCTTAACACATCCGATAGTACAAAGGCCGAGTTTATTGCAAAGGCAGAATTACTTGCTGCCGAGGGCCTTCGAGTACTTTGTATTGCTCATAAGACGGCCGAAGATAGCACTGCCCTCAGGGATGCGCGAGACGCTGCTGAAAGTGACCTCACGCCTCTGGGTCTTGCTGGTTTGTATGACCCTCCTCGATTGGAATCCGCCGACGCTGTGAAGAGATGTAGGATCGCCGGTATCTCGGTTCACATGCTTACTGGTGATCATATCAAAACAGCTACGGCAATCGCGCGCGAAGTAGGCATTCTTAGTAGCGGACTCAACGCCGCCGAGGCAGCGAGGGCTATCATGCCCGCCGCCTCATTTGATGCTATGTCAGACGCCCAGATCGATCGCTTGGAAAAGCTGCCGTTAGTGTTAGCTCGCTGTAGCCCATCGACAAAGGTACGCATGGTTGAAGCAATACACCGCCGTGGTGCATTTTGCGTTATGACCGGCGATGGAGTCAACGACTCACCTGCTCTGAAAAAGGCAGACGTCGGTATAGCTATGGGTTTCAATGGCAGTGATGTGGCCAAGGAGGCCGCAGATATGGTTCTTACAGACGACAACTTTGCTTCGATCGTTACTGCTGTCGAAGAAGGACGACGGTTATTCGACAACATCCAAAAGGTGAAGTCCCTGAACCATACCATACAACACAAACTGCAGGTCCTGGGAATTACTGCTGACTAGATAACCGATGTATAGTTTCTACTTCACCTCCTAGTCTCCAATATCGCACAGGTCATTCTCTTACTCATTGGCCTAGCATTCAAAGATGAGGATAATAAATCGGTATTTCCGCTCTCTCCTATCGAGATCCTGTGGGCGAACTTGATCACGTCGTCCTTCTTAGCCCTTGGTCTTGGTTTTGAAGAGGCGCAACCGGATATTATGTTACGACCACCACATGACTTACGCGTCGGCATTTTCACGAAGGAAATAATCATCGATAAGATGGCATACGGCGTGTTCATGGGCTCTCTATGCATTGCAGCTTTTACTTCCGTCATCTACACTTCGATGGAAGACGTCTACGAGGAGCCGCCGTGGTACGGCGTACTAGGTTCTGACTGCAACGCAGTATACAATGAGTCGTGCAACAGCGTCTACCGAGCTCGTGCGGCAACCTATGCTACTCTTAGTTTCCTCCTGCTCTTCACAGCCTGGGAAGTGAAGCATTTCACTCGCTCCCTGTTTAACATGTATCCGGAAATCTACACCGGGCCCTTCTCGGTTTTCAGAACAGTGTGGAAGAATAAATTCCTATTCGGAGCCGTGGTGGCAGGTTTCTTCATTACCTTCCCAGTGATATACCTGCCGGTCATCGATAGAGCAGTTTTTAAACACCAAGGTATCGGTATTGAGTGGATCGTTGTAGCCGCATGTGTCATAACTTACGTTGCTCTAGTAGAGCTATGGAAGGCAGGAAAACGGCGGTTTGTCAAGGGCGCTGTCTACGGTCAAGCTGCTGCCGGTGAGGTCTAGGGATGTTCTACATAGCGACAATCCCCTCTTTCCCTCCTCTTCCCCCCTGACCCTCCCCGCCTCCAAAAAAAAAAAAAAAAAAAAAAACCTCATGAAAGCTTCTCTGCGGTGAGATGTAGGGCGGATTTAAGTTATACCTGTGGTGCCGAAGCCGTTACTTTGGGAAGGGGAGCAGACAAACACACGTTCGTTTAGGAATAGAAACCAGGAAACACGGGATAGTGCGAGTAACAACAATTCTATTGTTAGCATAAATAGGCGATAACTTTGCATAAATATTAACTATATACATTCCTTACCTTATTGCAACATGTTCTACGGTGTTTTTGCGGTGACTGAAAAAAAGGTGCTTATTAGGTATCTATGATACACCGGGGCAGATGGGACATCATCGAGAGCTAACCCCATTTTACATTCGATGTTCACTCCTCTCCCAGTTTGAGTATAGCCCTACCGCCATTCTTTCGCTGAAATCAGTCTATGCCACCGCCGTGCCACCTCATATATCTGAGCTAGAGTCAGGATAGGGGATGCTACTGCTGGTTCTGGTGTAAAAATCAGAGAAGCTCCATATGAGGATGTGGCCGGGGTCTAGGGCGGTTTAAGGGGTGCTCTCCCCTTCGCCGAGGATACGGGCAATTAGGACGTATATGAATATTACGCCTCCGAAGACTAACAACTTGTTACGGCCGAGCCAACCCGTTCCGGCATCTCTGCGCTGAACGACAGCGTCAACAACAGCTTGGGTCTGGCCGCCGCTGCCACCAGCAATGCCCAGCTGTGGTCCACATGAGACACCACCGTTCCTGGCGCCCGTAGCTATGTCGATGTTGCTCTCGGTAATCCACCGCCAATTCTCCTTGTCTAATTCGGGCCACTCGGCCCTGAACTTGGCACCGCCATCTCCTGCTTTTACATTTCCCTTCTGAGCAGGGTTCTTGGAGTGCGAGCCCCCTCCTGTAGAGTTCCACCACCTAGACCTCGCAGCAAATATTCGTCGTTCGTGTGCTGTAGCCGAGACGGAGCCGGTAGTCATCTCCTCCGAAGTCATGAAAGAGAGCAGACCGATAAGGATCGTGGATACTTCCCAGGCCGGATTGAAGGAACGTGGATGGAAGTCGGAGATCGAAAGGCATAGCCGCGTGGAGGGCTGGAAACGACCGGAAGGGGTGTGCATTCGAATGGCAGGAGGCGCAAAGGGGTAGTTGGGTGGAAAGATCAAGGTACCCCAGTACTGGCCATTATGGTAAGGGGTATCCTCGGGACCGGTGATGATGTAGTGCCACCTGCTTTTTGATTAGCGACTCGGGGATGTTTGGTGATAGGCCGGAACATACTCGAGGATGTTGGACTCTGATGGATGAGCGCTGATGTATGGAGGGGGGTTTTCTGATATGCTCTTGTATTCACGCGCCAACTATAGTAATGCAACCCGGATTAGATTACCATTTTGTTATGTGGAAAGGGAGAACAGAACAATGAATGGGGATATAAGAAAAGGAGATATACGTACGCGTTTACTCGCTTGTTTGCTAGCCATAGTGTCTATGCGTATGGTCAATTGTGTTGTTATCTTGCTGGATCCGGGTATCTCGTAGAAGAAAAGGAAATGCGTCACGACGGCCCTGGGGTGCGGCTTTCGTATGTCGTGTGCGCAGTGCACCAATGTCGCCTCTTCTCGTTAGTAGGATTAAAATCGATGGAATCGGCGGGATCGGCTGTGTTCGGTTATGGGAGCGTAACGAGGGACTAGAAGTAGATACAAAGGTAATGAATATACGAGATACTGGCTAATAATTAATTGTCGAGTGTAGTGACTGGAGGATGTTTGAATTAAAAAGAAGGGGCTACGGTTTTGAGTTGAAGGACTAAGGATAAAATAAGGCTGATGATGACGGATTGGCCTTAGCTAAGTTTAGATAAGGTTCCAACAGTACGTACATTGGTAGGTAAGTAACACGGGTATCCCAGACTGGTGCAAATAATTGCGTCATCTCTTAAGTAGGTACCTAAATGTAACGAGTACGTACCTTCTTCCGGAGATTCCAGCTAATAGCAGCTACTAACCTACCAATCAACCTTGTAACTTCCAGCCCAAGCTCTCTCTTTATACTCTTTACATATAACAACCTTTTTTTTCCTTTCCTTAACGAGGGAGACAGGTTGTCTCTAAGATGGCTCGTAACGCTTCTCCTGGAGGCGACGATGTAAGACTTTTTGAGGATCATCCCCACATGCCAATAGCTAATAAAAATATGTTCACACCAGGCCTTCGAAGGTCTACTAAAGTCCGAGACTGCGTCAATACAGCAGAGAGCGGCAGCAGCAGAACGAGCTCGCGCACAAGAGGCACACAACACACAAAGGACAATTGAATTGGTGAATATTTCTTTCTACACATACAGCTTCTCCGCTGTTCGCTGTTCTCTGTCACTATACACACTGCTCACCCCGATCTAGTTGTCGCAAAATCAAACGCTCCCAGTCACCATCTCTTCTATCCAAATCCATGGCGCCAGACATACCCGCAAATCATTCCTCGAACCTTTACTCCAACCGCTCGTTGAAGATAGTCGCAATGCCGACTATACACTTGCGAGCATGATGGAGCAAGTGAGCGGTGCCGTCGATAAGCTACATAAATTCGGTATGAGTTGAATCACCGACCTTGATATTATGGAATTCTCGTGTTGACGTCGGGTATAAAGACATTTTTCACCCCAACATCATCTTCTACTTATCCCGTCCGTCCCACCTCGACCCGTCTTCCTCTCCAACCGACCTTGATGTCTCCCTACGTGTGCGCGAAAAGTCTCGCCTCCTTCTCAAAACGGGCACGGATTTGGGCAACACAGAAGGTTCTGCTTATGGATCTATGCTGTGGCGCAACATTTTTGGGGGCGCCGAATCTCTATCACTCAATGCTTCGGCAGGTACAAGGACACGCTCGGCATATAGTGCCGAATTCGGTGCTCCGGTCAAAAGCAATCCCAACCTACGCCTTAGCGTCGACGGTCTAGCGAGCAGTACCCAGAAACCTTGGGCGAGCCACGAGGAAGTTCTAAGGGGCGGGGGTGTTAAACTCAATTGGCTAAAGAACAACGGAGATCGACATCAGTTCGGGTATTCCGGTGCCTGGAGACAAGTAACTGGCCTATCCGCTGAGGCGAGTCCTAGTGTTCGGGGCGATGCCGGGGACTCTACGAAGAGCGCCATATCCTACTTGTTCCAGCGGGAACGGAGAGATAACCCTATGTTGCCGCAAAGCGGATACTTGATCAAGACAACTGCCGAATTCGCAGGGTGGGGATCTCTAGGCGGAGACGTTGGCTTCTCCAAGAGCGAACTTGAAGTTGCCGGAGCGGTGCCGGTCCCCTTACCCGGCGTTAAAGGGTCATCGGGTGTATCCATCGGCGGTGGCCTCAGAGCAGGCTTACTCTATCCCCTCCCTCTGTCATATGGTCTTAGCGGCGCATCACCCAGTCGCATCAACGACCGCTTTACCCTCGGTGGGCCGACGGACGTAAGAGGCTTCTCACTAGGTGGTCTTGGTCCTAGGGACGGTGGTGACGCTCTCGGTGGCGACGTTTACGCTGCAGGGAGTGTTAATATGCTCGTCCCCCTCCCTAGGACCGGGCCCGAGTCTCCCTTCAGACTACAACTCTTCGCCAACGGCGGCCGGCTAGTAGCGATGAGAAACAAGACCAAAGGTGGCGGTTCCGCATCTGGCCAGCGTCTGGGTGCCGGTGCGATATGGGAAGGTATGGTTTCTGCAACGAAGGACCTCGGTACGGGACTTCCTAGCGTCGCCGCCGGCATAGGCCTCGTATACGCTCACCCTGTTGCTAGATTCGAGCTGAACTTCAGCTTACCTCTAGTAATGAGGCGGGGAGAGGAGGCCCGAAAAGGATTGCAAGTTGGCGTAGGAATCAATTTCTTATAGCGCTGCAGAATCCTCTAGGCCTACTCTAAACAGCCAAAACGAGGAAGTTACCTCGTGTAAATATTCTATCCTACCTATCTCCCTTTGTAGATACCCGCTCTCCCCCCGAGTATTTAGTATACCTTGTTTAGTAGATGCCCGTCTATCGTAGCTTATTTAACGGACAACGACCTGTCTAACAAGATCTACGATAAGTTGACGCGTTATATAGGGAAGACAATATAGCCATGTGTCAGAAACCGATTCTTAATCTCAGTTTTATTATTATCTACACAAATTTGCATTTTCTTTCGTCCTTCGGGTTTTTTTGGGGGGGGGTTTTTTTCTTATAGCCCTTTGAGAGGCACATTTCAGCTCCTTCGGCTTTCCATAATGGATACTTATCCTGTCGGCTAGTTCCTAACCTAACAGCGGGGATAGTTCCCTGGACGCTTAGATAGTGGGGTTGCCATCGCCTTGTTCCGAATGGGGTCAATATTCGACAATTCCGAGAAAGGTCCTCCTGGATCTCGTCCCATCCTGATCAAACCAACCCAATGGCAGCAATCGGTCCCTCGTCTAAAATCGTCATCGTTGGCTCCGGTGTCTTCGGCATCTCGACGGCGCTATGGTTGGCACGCTCCGGCTATAAGGACGTGACCGTCCTAGACATGCAAGATACCGCCCGCATGGCATACGACCCGTCATGCGTAGACTCGGCATCGGCCGACCTAAACAAGATCATCCGTTTCAGCTACGGCTCGGAGATTGAGTATCAGAGGCTTGCTACCGAGGCTGCCAAGATATGGGACGAGTGGAATCTCGAGATCCTGACGGCACCGACCAATGAGTTGCCAGAGCGCTTAAGACACGGCGACAGAAAGCTTTGGTGGAACGTAGGAATGCTACGCATGAGTTGCGAATCAGATTTGGGTGATTTTGAGATTACAACGCTAGATAATATGGAACGCGAGGGGATTCGGGAGTTCCAGTTCAGGACCGATGATGATAGAGGTAGGTTAGGAAACCAAAATGCACCACCACAACTGCAAAGCATGGAATCTGATTATGCCTTGTTACGATATTAAGATGTTACTCGGGCGAGGGAACGAGGCTGGGCACACAAGCTTGACCCCTGCCGTCGCCAAGATAGGCTCGGAACTCACAAGGCAGTCCTGGACTCAACCGCTGGTTTCGTTTATGCTTACAAGAGCTGTGCTTGGGCCCAGCATCTAGCGAGGAAAGCCGGCGTCAAAATGATACTCGACCCCCAACGCGGAAAAGTTGTTGATATTACGACCAAGAGCGACCAGCCCGTAGTGCATACCGCTGACGGTCTTCGATATACGGCCGACCTAGTCGTCGTTGCCGGTAAGTCGTTTATAATTCAACAACATGTCACATGATATAGACAGGTACGTGTTTACTAAAGGGGGAAAAACACAATATAGGTGGTGGGTGGACCCCGTCATTGGTTCCAGAAGTTCAAGGATTGTTAGAAACCACAGCCGGCTCAGTAGCCAACATCAGCATTCCGAAGGACCGCCCTGAGCTGTGGGAACGGTTCGCGCCGGAAAACCAACCGGTGATCACTTGGGGTTCATGGCAGGGCAAAGAAGTATACAGCCTCCCTAGGGACGAAAACGGCACGTTCAAAATTGGTTGGCGGAAAACAAAGTCAGGCATTCCCCTTAATTGATCCACGCAGGCCTCATATAAAAGTAAGGCTAATCCGATAGGCGATAGATGGACGAACTTCGAAGATGTCCGTGAGCAGCGTATATCAGTTCCTAGAACTGCCCACGTAACTGAGCGTAAAGAAACGCGACTTCCGATCGATGCTCTAAATGGTATCAAAGGTGAGAAGTAGAGCGTGGAGTTATTTAAGGTCTACAAAAAAAATTTTAGAACAAAATGTAAAAATAAATCTGGCTCACCTAACTAACTACCGTCACCTTTTAGAATACATATCGGTCAACTTCCCGGAGTTGGTCCCACTAGGGATTACGTCCACCAGACTCTGCTGGTATACCGACAGCATTGACAATTCATTTGTTGTCGACTTCGTGCCCGGACGCCCTGGAGTTGCGGTCTGTTCCGGCGGTAGCGGTCACGGCTTCAAATTCCTACCCATCCTTGGACGCGAAGTCGTCAAGATTCTCGAAGGCAGGGGATCGCAGACGGTCTACGGTCACATGTGGCGGTGGAGAAGCAGTAGCGAGCCCATGAGGAACGGTCTAGAGGAAGGCGAACAAGGTCCAAGGGTACTATCAAAGCAGACGATGGCCACCAAGGCGGATTGGACATTTACAGGCCAATGATTTGCGATAGTTATGCCGCTTTCGAATTATTCAAGGTCTTTAAGAGGTGGCCTGGGCGTTCAATATACATATACTACCTAGGTAGATATATATATATATGTATATATAGTTATATGGATAAACCAACCCAATCCAGTGTCAAGCTATTTTCTTCATTATGAGATATCTATTAAGAGATATTGTCAAGTAATTAAATCAGTGCCCGTAAAGCTCTTTATACATAGGTAGAAAAGAAAAAAAGCAATGACTAAAATAACTAGATGGAGGAGGACGACAAGAACCGACTCGGCCCAATACCTCATATTCGTGTGATAAACGCCTAGTTCCTACGTCGTCTTTGCCTTTCTTCAGTCCTCATTGGAGGAATTGGTTGACGGGGAGAGCAAGACTAATGTGATTGTTGGGTTTGATTGGCCAATCCTGTCCATTTTTCGACCAATCCGGTAAGTAGAGAAAGGGGTGGAGCCAAGGTGGAGGAGACCTATCTCGTAGGAGTAAATGACGAATATGCACTTGCTTGCATTGACGGATATCGATTCGTTGCTTCGAAGGTGGAATCTTGGACTCGCCTAGGTATTCGTTAGTGGCGCTTATTGCAATCACGCGGGAATCGTAGAGCTAACATGGGTCGTCGACTCGTTGCACGACCCAATTGGAGACCATGCCCTGGCATATTTCACAATCTCGACCGGAGATCTCATCCATTATCACTATCTACGTTGTATATATTCCCACCTCGGTGGTCGATCGATTTCTAGAATGATCGAGGATAAAAATCGACTGCCCGCTTACTTAGGTAGGTTATCTTAAGCTTAAAGATTCTAGATCTTCCTTCTCTCCTCTCCTGTATGTCTCACCTTTAAGCGATGTCCTCTCCTATACATTTGCCATTTCACGATGCACACCGGACACCAGCTGTCGTGTGCCATGTGGGCAATGGCGGCCTTATCCCTCGTCCTAGTCGCTCTCCGGCTATACACTCGCATACGGATCGTCAATTTCGTTGGTGCTGAAGACTACATGTATGCTGGGACCGGCGTACGTAGAACTGACTTCTTGAAATACCGCGGCCATCAAGTCCGAAATAACCTGATTCGTATAATATAGGTGTTCTTACTCCTGTTCGCTGTTTTCATACAAGTCTCCGTCCATTATGGGTTAGGTCAGAACTTCTGGAAACTCAGCATCGACGATAGCTCAGACGCAATCTTCTGGACTTATGTTGCAAACAGTTTCGCCATTACCGGTAATGCTATGGCGAAACTGTCTATGGGCCTGTTTCTGCTCCGCGTAGTCCAAGTCAGGTGGCATAAAATCGCTCTCTGGGTCGCCGTCATCATCACCACCGCCACGTCTATCGCTCTCACCATCATGCTCTGGAATCAGACGACGCCAATCAAAGCGAGCTGGGACCCATTGCGCACGCCCGGGACGTGGAACATACGAATTCAACCTATGAGCGTCGGGCTCGGAGGTACTTACTATGTATAAGTTTGGTTATTCATGGACTGAATCGCTGACGTTGGTCATAGTTTGGTCTAGCATTTGCGACTTCTTCTTCGCGATATTTCCTTGGCTATTCATCCGAACGCTTCCAATGTCTCGCCGAGAGAAGTTCATGCTAGCGGGGGGGATGAGTTTGGGGGTAATGTAAGCTACAACAATGGCAACCTAGGAGACAGAAAGTGGAAAAAATGGAATAAGCTGACCTTTATCTGTAGCGCCGGTGCTTGTGGCATTACTCGAACGGTAGTCCTTTCGCGGTTGGATGTTTTCAATTATACATGTGAGTAGAAGCCTCGTGGCGACGGAGCCATACAGTGACTAACGAGCAAATTCAGTAAACTTCGTGCCATATTTTGCTTGGGCAGGCGCGGAGATCGCCGTCGCGATGATTTGCCTCGGTATCCCTACACTGCGGCCGCTATATCTCAAGACAAGAGGATTTGCTAGCGCATATTCGAACCATGGCCAGAGCAGCCACGCAAACGAGATACCCAGGTTTGTCATGTACGAACGCAAAGCTTCAAATCCGGCCCCGTCAGCGCACGACTCGGGGATTTCGTACGCTCGTACCGACAACAACATAAAAACCCCGCCGCCGACCCACCAGACTCAGACCAGTAATGACAGCGTGGAAGATATAATATCAGGTTATCAGGATCAGCATGTGGGCGTGATATGGGTCAAGAATGAGGTCCGCATCCAGGAGGACGTTGCTGAATGGCCGCTGCGTGGTTGATGTGTAATAATAGATGCAGTACTAAAGTTAGAGATGGTAGTAGTTTGCCTCCAGACGCAAGTCACGATGATATAAATACATCCGTTAACAAACAACTTATAACGGACTCGGCTTGATTTCTGATAGGGTTTCCGTAACCTACTGGGCGCCATAGATTATAGTTGAGACATACAACAGGGTCCTCACAAGCCAGAGAAGTTGGCTGTCCTTTCTAACATGGATTGATGGTGAGATGAGAACTGCGTAGATGAGGCCGAAGTTCTACGAATTAGTGTGTAATTGAAAGAAACTTGATATGCATGTAAGTACAATCTAGGTATGTTGCGAAGCACTTGCTTTTGCTGCTTACCTAACCACATAGATGGGTGTCCAAGTACAAGTATACAGAATACATATGTACCTAGGTACTAATCCTATTGATGTACATCCAATGGGATGGATCTGTCAGTATCCTCTAAGGTTAATCGTTTAGGTAGGTGCGTTCAGAGCAGCTGGGGTACCGACAATTACTGATGTATGAGGTCACAGCAGATGTTACGCTAACGCTAACAAGTATCTAAGCGCGGGGCAGACATCTATTTCATGTACAAACTCCACATGATAGAGCTGAGCAGCGGCTGCCGACAGGTGCCAGCCAAGAATTGTCGACCAATCTTAATTACGGAAGCAAAAGAAATAGTAGGGGTCAAAAAATAAAAAATAAAAATCTCGGACTTTTCATCCCCGCCAAAGCTGCTAGGAGCTGGTTGCCCCCAAACTTCCTCCACCACCATCCGCCGTCCATCGTTAGATGCCCTTTCTTGACTACTGAGTCCTGAGGTAGGAATCTGGTTACCCGCAACCACATACCATCTTTCAAGTAAATCTCATCATCACCGTTAATTCCTTCTCCGACAATAACCAAGCTACGACATCAACCATACAAATATTGACGGTGTGACTACGCTTTCCCTTTCAACTACTACCTACACACCTACACACTTACATCCACATACCTACACTGCTTACTTCTACCTCACACCTCACTCGCGCTTGTTGTTACCTGTATACCTGTACTTGGATCGGCCTTCTTTCTCTACGTCCTCTCGTGATTCTGGAATGGTCTAATTCACATCCACGACATTACTTGAGCCTCGGCCGAGTTGCAGTTTTCCGGGTCTAATTTCATGGTTATAGTCGAATGCCTAACGTTCTTCTCACTCTATCGCGCACGTCCCGGATCTCCTGCGCTCACCAGCTCCGCCTACGTCGTAATATCCCTCCTTTCGTTCGTATCCCTCCCGGACCGCCTTGCGATTGTTGGATAACCGTTGGCGACTAAGACCCGCGACAATTGAGTTGGAACCCTTCGCCATGGCGCCTCACAAGGGCCAGGCTAAACCTGGGAAAGCCTCTTCCGGCCATGTGAAGAAACCGTCCACCGCCGTCACCCAAGGCCGCACCATTGTGCAACCGGCCATTCCTCTTCCCATGATTCCTAAGCAGCATACCAAGTCAGCTAAACAACGTACCTCGACTCCCTCCTCGACCAACGGTTTCCCGGCTTCGTCACTAGAGGCAGCACTTGCTGGTCATGGCGACAACACCACAGTTCCCGTCTCTGCCTCAGTTCCTGTTCCAGGTGGTGCAAAGGCTCTTCAACAACCGGCCAAGGCTTCTGGCGGCTCAAATGTGGAGAAGCCCGAAAATGCCACCGACACTACCAACGGTACACCTAATGGGCGTAACTATCAGAACTTCTACGCTACCGCTCCCGTTGCTGCTCCCGTGAATGGTGCAAACGGGACGAACGGTGATATTCAAGAGACATCTATTCCTTCCGCAGCGCATGCTGTACCCATTCTTGGATCTGGACCTGGACCTGGACCTGGATCTAGAACTGGATCTGGTTCTGGTTCGAGTTCCGTTTCTGTCTCCGCGTCCGTCTCTGCTCTGGCGAATGACACCAGTGAAGGTAACCCGCATCTTCAGTCATCACTTCCTTTTCTAGAATTTAGACTCTTACATTTGATAGGTGCGCGCGATGCGGTTCAGCATATCTTCCAACCCCAACCACAGCCAAATCCCTCCTCGCCCACTCTCCTATCGAACCAACAGCAACCGCCTTTCCGTCACCACCATCTACCGACCCACCCTCTACAGCATCAGGTTTCGACCGATGAGATACCAGATCCTGCAAGTGTTCGCAGCCCGCCCCGCCTGAACCATCATCAACATCAGCACCAAGCTCAGCATCGGTCCCATGTGAGCAACGGTGGCGGCGTCGTTTTCGGCGGCTTTGCCGGTTCGCATACACCTTCGCCGGTGCCTCCCCCTAGCGGTTTCGTGCCACCTCCGCATCCACCTCCAACTATGCCCGTAAACGGCGAGAATGGTATACACCCACGGCCTAACGGCCATCACCACGCGCACTCCGGCAGTGGCTTCCCCGGTCCCATCAACACACGATTTCGTCCTGACGCTATGCCGTTATCCACTATTGACACATACGGACAGGTACCCGCTCCCGTCGCCCACGCCCCGTTTGACCCATTCTCCCCCGGTGTGGGTCGCTACGGCCTTGAGACGCCTCACAGCTTCCATGGATCGCACGCTTCGGGCGAGCTAAACGGTATCGAGAATGGGGTTGTACCTCCTTATCCCCCCAACGGCCTTCCCTATGCCGGCCATGGTCATCACGAGCATCCTGTCGGACATCCGCATCCGGGTCCTCATTTCCCGCTTTTCATGCCCCCGGGTCCTTTTGCTCGGTACCCTAACGCGGGTGACGATGATCTAAGGGATAGCATTGCGTACTTTCAGGACCAGTTTGACAACAAAGAACTCACCGACTGTGTCCTGGAATTGATTTCTACTAAACGGCTGCACCACCCGGTCAAGATTACGGGCCATAAGCTTGTGTTTGCTCGTAGCCCGGCGTTGAGGCAGCATATCATGGCTGCTCGTGCTACCGATCTTGGTTCCCATACCATCACGGTCGAGTCTGACGACCGATATCTGCGTTCTGACGCTTGGTGGAACGCGGTGCGACGATTGTACCTCTTCCCTCTACTCACGCCCGCTATGATAACTGGCAGGTCATATGATTTGCGCTTGGCTGACGACAAAGCCGATCGTTTCGAGTTCTGTCTGGGCTATGCTGCTGCCGGTCACCTTCTGCACATGCATGATGTTTTTCTGCGTGGCCTACGGATGGCGGCCGACTTTCTCAACTGGAACACTGTAGAAGAGGCCCTCGCTTTCGTATTCGAAGGCGCTATCCAGCGTCACGAAAAATACGATGATGACCAGGATGCTGAGCTGGACTACGTGTATGGTCCGGACGTTGGGTTCCTCCGAGATACCATCAGAGATTTCATTGTCAACGCGTTCCCGGCGGACTTTGAATTCGATCCTTCAGTTTATGACCCCCCTAAGCTTGCGCGTATCCCGCCTGCCGCGGGCGTCACGCCTTCGCCTACGAACTCTGCGCCTACCATCGCTAGAGGCACAAGTATGCGTAGCCCTACGAAATCTCAGCGCCTAACTAGTATTAAGTTCGGCGATCTCCCGGCCGCTTATCCGGACGATGCTACTACCACTCCTCGTGATCTCGATAATTCGTCTCCAGTCCTTTCGCGTGTGTTACTCAACTTGCCCTTCAACGAACTTTGCAGGGTGCTCACCTCGCAGAACGACGGGATCCCGGGTATGCATACGGCTCAGATTCGGTACCATGCGATCGCTGATGTAATTGCCGAGAGAGAGGCACGACGATCTCGCGCAGTCGAAGCGGTTCGTGCCGGAGTAGTCCCCAATTCCGAAGACATCCAGCAACGGCTATCAGCTCAACGCCGCTACGCCATCGTTGAGCCGTGGGATGTGTTGAATTGGGAGGAGGCCGTGATCCAGCCGAGAGGTGCCGAGCTTCCTCGAATGATACGTACGTGGGTTCCGCAGTTCGCCGTCACCTCGGACGTGCCACAGCATCAGTTAAAACCTCAACAGTACGAGGTCCGAAACTCCATGGTCTAGATTATTGACTGGAGTATTGCATGGCGGGCTCATGATTGAATGATAGGTTTAGTCGGCACGAAGGAATGAAGTCTCCTACGTTACATGGCATGGCGGTTCTGGCATTTGTCTTTCCCTGTGAAATTTTTTGTTTTCTTTCCTCGTTGTCTTTTTTTTTTTTTTTTAAGAAAAAAAAAAGGAAAGGAAAAGACAAGAAAAGAAAAGCCTTTTTTTGTTTAGTCCTTCGTCGGCATCGCGTTCGGTGTTGGTGTTGGTGTATCGTTTCTTTTCTCGGTCGCCTTTACACAAACCCCCCCTTTTTACTTCATGAACATAGTTAACGAAGGGCGGAGTAGGGAGTCCCATAGGATGTCTATAGTGACTCCACCAAGGTTTTCCCTACCCTTCTCAGCCCACCTCGCATATGAAGGTTTCTTTTCGAAAACAAAATACACTCGCTCAGTTGAGCTAGTTACTACTATCTCGTGGATACGGTCAAGGACAGGGCGGAAAAGTGGTTAGACAGTACAGAAGAATTACGAAGAGTAGGGAAGGATCAAACGAGCACCATTTTGCATTTTACATAATACCCTATCGACCCCATCCACCTCCTCTGCAGATGAATGTCGCCGCTGCAGTTCGTTTTTTCCATTTCTTTTCTCGACCATGAAACCATCAGCCCTGGAGTTTGGGAGGAATGCGGATAGGTTCACATTTGATCCCCCCCGCTGGAATTGCTCGGTCAGGTTTGATTCATAGAAGCTGCACGTAGGGTAAAGTCGGCGGTAGGGATGTAAGGAGTTGATTCGGTATGGCTACGTGTGAATTAAGGATAAACAGGGCAAAAAGGGTTGATAGACGGTACCTAAACCGGACCATCTTGTCTACCTCCTTATGTTTGTAGAGCCGATGACCTCGGGTCTCGCCAAAAGTGTTTTTATGATGAATTTCCATACACCACCATCAATTGTGGTTAAGAATATGAAGGATTGTTGAGATATACGTAGTTGTGCGTATGAATTAATTGATGTGTAGATGTAGATACGACTCAGTGTTGATTTAATACTTCAATATCGTAGGTACGTCCAGGGTGCACATTCCTAAATTGGTAATAAATAACGAGTCGTTACCTAGCAAGGTCTCCCGAGTCATTACCAAATGGGGGTTCGAATCCATGTTAGGTAAGTTCTAGATCAGCGCGGGGAAGCCGAGTTTACGTATCTAGCTCTAGCAGTTCTAGCTAGGTAGGTACATACCTAGGCAGCTGGTAGGAACGGGTACGGACAGTACGGAGTAAAGTTCTACATATGTTAAACCAAAAACAGGCATGGATGACGTTGCAAGGCACGATCGGTACCCTGGCCGAAACAGAGGCTCCGGAGTTCAAGCTTTTTAAGTTCCCGCCTGCCCCGCGTAGCGTGGCGCTGGAGCAGTGACTGCACGTAAGATACATGTAAATAGCAGATATAGGACCCACCAACTCGGTGAACAAAGAGAAGATTGAATACCTAATGTAATAGAATAACAAGATCAAACCCTGAAGACGTTGATAAGAATTAGCTTATTCCTGACAGGGGCGAGAACGCCTTCCACTCATTCGAAGTCTCAATTATCTTAACTCTTCTCATCTTTTATTCTTTCTTCTCCATTTCTCTTTTTTGCCATTCCGCTTCCAACTTAAATAATGCATTGTACCCCCTATCGTACTAGATCGACAGGTACCTGTATGTGTTTATAAACTACCTGTTCATACATCGGACGTCTTCGCATAAAATCTCTTCTAGGTATCATATATTTGATTTACGACCTTAACTTCTTTAAAATATATATTTACGATTTCAAGACACCTCAGGTCTAGCAAATAAGGTAGAAGGATAATAAAAAGAAAGAGAAGACGAGGGAAAGGAGCAGAGAGAGGAATAAGCAAACTTGGACCAAGACTAGAATCAAGACTGGATCCTCAAAAGGACGGGGGGAAAGCACAATATTCACAGAAAAGCAAAAGCAATGGGCGAGACCGAAGAACAAGGTCGGCGCCTTAGCATCGCTCAAGATGCAGCAGCGCTAGCGCATCTCGGTCATAAGCAGGAGCTTAAGAGGAATTTCTCCATGATCTCTATGCTTGGGCTCGCCTTCGCCATCCTCAACACCTGGACCGCCCTCGCTGCGTCCATCTCAGTCGCTTTGCCCTCGGGCGGTCCTAGTTCTGTCGTCTGGGGTCTCATCGTGGCAGGTATCTGCAACCTGTGTCTGGCCGCTTCGCTAGCCGAATTCCTTTCCGCCTACCCGACTGCCGGGGGACAGTACCACTGGGCCGCCATCGTCGCGTGGAAGAACTGGAGTAGGAGCATCAGTTATGCCACTGGTTGGATCAACGTAAGCGGATGGGTCGCGCTGACGGCCACGGGAGGCTTGCTAGGGAGCACGTTCATCATCAACATCATCTCGCTGCTGCACTCCGACTATGAGACCAAGTCCTGGCATCAATTTCTGATCTATATCGGGTTTACCTTCATAGCCCTCTTCATTAACGCCTTCTCGACGAGGCTATTGCCCTTGTTCACCAAGGCCGCCTTCTTCTGGAGCCTGACAGGGTTCGTCGTCATCAGCATCACGATATTGGCGTGCGCGTCGCCAAACTACCAGAGCGGCGCCTTCGTCTATGGTGAATTTATCAACGAGGTCGGATGGCCAGATGGCCTGTCATGGCTGCTAGGGTTGCTGCAGGGCGCATTTGCGCTCACTGGTTTCGATGCCGTGGCTCACATGATCGAGGAGATTCCGCAACCGCATATACGTGGCCCAAGGATCATGCTTTACTGCATCGGTATCGGGATGGGAACAGGTTTCATATTTCTGTCTTGCCTGCTCTTTTGCGTTGACAACATCGACAACGTGATAGAATCCAGCGCCGGGCCCCTGCTACAGATTTTCATGGACGCCACCAAAAGCCCCGCGGGCAGCGTATGCTTGCTGATGTTCCCTCTCGTATGCATGCTTTTCACCGCGACAACATTAATGACGACGAGCAGCCGGATGTCATACGCGTTTGCGCGAGACCGCGGGCTTCCGTTCAGCCATATCTTTGCGCAGGTTCATCCGAAATTAGATGTGCCGCTAAACGCGCTGCTTTGGACGGCCGCCTGGGTCGTCGTGTTCGGGTGCATCTTCCTCGGGTCATCGAGCACCTTCAATGCCATCACGTCGGCATCAGTCGTCGCACTCGGCGTGACGTACGCCATCCCACCGTCCATTAACGTGCTGCGAGGCCGCAGAATGCTACCGGAGAATCGCGCGTTCAAGTTGCCTGGCATGGCGGGTTGGGTTATGAACCTGGTAAGTTGTTACTACTTTGCCCCGCGCTTCATATTTACCCCGAGTCCTGGACGCGGGAAGGCTTTGGAATGTCGTCGCTCTACCTATTACATAAGCTGACTCATTGGGGGGAGGAAATAGGTCGGAATAGCTTGGACAGTCCTGACGACTGTTCTATTCGTCTTTCCGCCCGAGTTACCGGTTACGAGCGAGAACATGAATTACTGCGTCGTTGCATTTGGTGTCATCTTAATCATTGCCATGCTCACATGGATCTTCGACGGTCGTAAGAATTACACGGGGCCACATGTCGACGTTGAAGGGCTAGAGAAGGGCAAGATTGAGGGCGTGGAAGCAGTGCTAGAGCACGCAGCCGAGTCTGATTCAAAGGCCGCAGCTTGAATAAGTCTAGGTGCAGAGGTTCTAGATAAGCGGGTCTCCTTACCTTCAATGTTAGTAGGTTTAGATGAAGCTGTACATAGTCACACCATTTTTTGTCAATGCAAAGGCGTGGAATCGTATAAAATGCACCGGTGATCACAATGGAACTAGGGGCTATTTTCACAGCAGAGTATGTATGCTACACATCATAGGCATCCCCAATATATCTACTTGGGGTCCAAATAGGTAGGATCCTCCAAGGTGACGACAAGGACAACGAGGAGTAGCGTCGGAATACACCTACGTAGGTAGTTATAAGGTATGTAGTTATAAGATAGATATGTAGATAAACCTTGAAGTCAAATGAGACGTCTGTACTGTTGTACCTACCATGCATTGGGTGCTTAAGCTTTCTACCCCACAATATAGTACATAGCTCACATGCCAGCTGAGCCGAGGCAGAGCAATATACTTGCATTGCTATTGCTTATTTAGACCCTAATCTTACGTAGTGGGAGGTTATTAATTAAATGGATCGTACTTTACCTATATGTTTCCCGTGCCAGACACGCGACGACTCCTCCCCTAATCTAATCTGGTTCTGTCCTATCTTCTCTTTCTCTCTACACCAAAAGCCCACCAAAATCCACCGCCCGAGGCAAGCCCACCTCCGATCTCCATCCTACGATATATCTCGCCTGTCTTACCTGTCAGGCCTGTCTACATTCTAAACCCACCACGCTACCCACAATCATCAATGTTTGTTCGTCTCATCCGAACCGTGGCATATTCCTCTCCCGCTACGAGGCTGCTATCGATCGACACGTTGAGAACACCAGCCCGGCGAGTGCGACGTCGTATCGCTACAGCTGAATTGACATGATTCACCGGAATCCGATGCTGAGCTGAGCTGAGACAACCTAGTTTTTGCGCTGCTTATAGCTAGACACGAAGAAAAGAAAGGAAGGGCTAAAAAAGATAATAACAACAAACCCGAATTGTCGGATTCCATCACTTTGCACATCCAGTCCTTCTATCGTAAACATCTGTTGGGCATCAATTTCCCACGTAATCGTGAAAATCGTCGATTCGATCCAGATCACTATGGCATCCGAAGCCGAGTCTTCGCGACTACCTACCCTCCCTCCGCTCGAGATTCCGAGCCAGCCTGACGCCGTAACGCGACCCAGAGCGAGCTCAAAATCGAAGCCTAGGTCTGCCGTCGATCCGGTCCTCCGCAATGCCATAAGGTATACCATCTCGGCTCGCGAATATGAAACTCTCCACAAATATGTGCTGTCGCGGTCGCGTCTGCTGAGGAAGAGAGTACCCAGCGTAAACGCCGTCGAAAGGTATATGGAGGGCAGCGGCATAAGGAGAGGATCCGTGACAGACGGAGATGTCGGTAAAGGGAAAGAGAACAGGAAGGAGAAGCCAGCAAATGGCAATGCCGACGGGGGAGACACCTATAATGCGCGCGCCATTAGGGACTCTCTGCGTGTATTTATGGCAACAGGCTTAGGAGTACGAGCTTACGAGACAGTGATGACGAGGGTCAAGGCGCAAAAGGAGTAAGGAGTGATACGATGTGCCTAAGGGATAAGTCGCCAGGGATGCTAACATATTCTCAGGGCCGCTTCACCGAAGAGGAAGCAACCATTCTACAAGTCCTCTGGTCTTCGGTTATCGCTATCATTATCCACCATCCTACTCATGTACCGCCTTCTCTTTCGCTTTCTTAGTCGATTACGAGCCCATCTATTAGACCAGTCGGCAGCTCCCTTTCGTAATAGAAACCCCAGGACAACACAGGCGCTTACGTCCCCCTATGCGCCGGCTGTAGGTGCCAGCCTTGCGGGATTGGCTTTAGGTATATATCCCTCGCAACAGCTGCGCGTGACAGTAGCCATCGCAGCTATATTCCGTGCTCTCGAATTTGGCTGGAACCTTTGCGAGGACGAGGGTTTAATCTGGGGCTGGAAGGTCCGCGCCGGCGGGAAGGGAGTAGTTAAACGAGAGCGGCCTTGGTGGTGGGGGAGTTGGATGCTTCAACCATTTGCTTTCGGACAGCTCCTACACGCAGTAGTGTTTGATCGGGAGTCTTCTCCAGTTGCCTTCGTCGATTTCATATGGAAAAGCTCCACCACCTATATTCATGGGGCGCCCAAAAATCTTCCTAACGGGATCAAGTGGCCTAACGCCTGGGAGATTGCTGATAACTTGGCTCAGATGGCCAAGCTGAATTGGCCGTGAGTAAACTCCAGCTCGCTTTGGCATATGACAAGATGCTAACAAGTTTGAAGACCTTTCGTGTCACCGACTCTATTCCCGGAACAGGAAACCTTACCTTCGACTCTCGCAGCCGTCGCACCACTAGCCGCACGAGCTCACCCTCTTATCACTTCTTTGAGCTGCGCCACTCTTCATCCTTCGGACCCTTCGTGTCTTCGCACATATCTAACATTTTGGGTGCGGTCCTTTCCGCGAATGGGGCGGTTCTTTTTGCTCTTCTATTCGGTGCTCATGCTTCCGCGCTATAAGTTGCTGTATAATTCGCCACTGTATCTTGTGAATCGTCTTATGTCCAGGGTTCTCCGCATGTCCACTTTTGCGACGGGGGCTATCTCGACAGCGTGGGCGAGCATATGCTTCTTTCAGACATGGCTGCCCCGTGCATTCCTGCCGACGCAACGCTTCTTCCTCGGCGGTTTCCTGGCAGGCCTGTGGGCATGGGTGGAGCGAAAAGAGGGGAGGAGCGTGTTCTTATATAGCGCACGAACGAGCGTGGACTCGTTGTGGAAGGTAGGTGTCAAGCGACGGTGGTGGCGTGCTATGAAAGGAGGCGACGTATGGGTATTTGTGCTAGCGCTTGCCATTACTGGTGCCGTATACGAAAGGGATGCGAGGGCCATACGCGAAAGCCGCGTGAGGAAGGGAGTAAGTTGGGCTCGGGGTTCCGGATTCAAGGACTGGGGCCTAGAAGATGATGATGAAAGAGAAGAAATTGATGATGAGCACGGGGAAGAATAGCATATGATATCACGAACTTGACTTTTAATCAATATAATGTAAAACATTTTATAAATTACGATTTAGAGTTAGTCAGAAAACGATGTTCAGTATAAAGACTTTTATGTATGTAGTTCTTATTGTAAAACAGCCATTGTTAAGGATGTCATGCGATACCCTTCCACTTTTCCTTAACCATGACGATACAGAGGATGCTTTCAAAATATTGCCATAAGGAACTCCCGCTAAGTCCAGCACCAGCTGCGAAGTCCCTGCTGGCGGCTATTGTAAGTGTAAAGCCATGAGGAAGCTTAAGCTTTAATGTAGGAACGGTGGGATTTTAAAAAGTTTTATGTTTAAGTTCACGAAGGACATGCCCGGGTTTTGCCGGAGTTTATAAAAAATATGCCATGAATTTACGAAAAATTATTATAAATATAAAAAATTTTTTAATATTATTTTAAATATATATATATATATAATTTTAATAATTTTATTTTTAATAATATTAAATTATTTAATATTATTTAATATTATATTTATTAATTTAATAAAAAAATAATTAAATAATAATTAATAATAAATAAATTTTTAATTTAAAATTAAAATATATAAAAAAAAATTTATTTTCGTTTTTAACGTTAATTTTATAATATTAAAAATATTAATATTATATAAATTATAATAAAATTTAAATATAATATTATAAATAATAATTAATTTTTTTAAATTTAAATTAATTAAAAAAATTTAAAAAAAATTATTTATTATATTAATATAATTTAAATATATAATTATATAATTAAATTAAAATATATATATTTTTTATTAATTTTCCCGATTTTTAATAAAAAGAAATTATATTTTTATAATTATATTAATAAATTATTTAAATTTAATTAACGTTTTAATTAAACTTTTATTAAAAATATAATTTAAATATAATATTTTTTTAAAAAAAACCGGAAAATTAAATATAATTTTTAATAATATAACGTTTAAAAATATAAATATAATTTTAATATAATTTTAAAAAAAATTTTAAATATTAATAATTTTAAATTTAATAATATTAAATTTTTTATATTATATAATATTATATTTATTAATTATAATAATATTTAAGTTTTATTTAATATTATAATTATTAATTATAATATTAAAACTTTTAATTTTTTTAATAATAATAAATAATATTAATTATATTAATTAATAAATTTTATTATATTTTTTATTAAAAAATTTTTTTAATATTATTTATTATATATATTAATATATTTTTTTTAATATATTAAATATTTTAAATATTTTTATTTTTTTTAATTATTAATTTAATAATTTATAAATTTTTTAATTTTATATAATATTTATTTATTTATATTTTTTTATATTATAATACGTTTAAATATTAATAATTTTTTATTATAAAAATTTAAGTTTTATAATATTTTATATAATTATAATATATTTATAATTTTATATATATATTATAACGAAAATATATTAATTTTATACGTTAAATTTCCGATTTTTTTTATTATAAATAATGGTTTTATTTTTTATGTTTTATATTTTTTAAATTAATTCTTTAATAATTTATAACCGTAATATAAACGTAAGTATATAATTTTATTAATTTTAAACTTTATAATTTTATAAGTTTTATTATATTATATTTTAACGTTTATTATTATAAAATTTAAAGTTTTTTTTATTTTTTTTTTAAAATTATTTTCGTATTATTTTAAAATTAAAAATATTTATTAATATATTTAATATAAATATAATTAATTTTAATTTAAAATTTAATATAACTTTATTTAAATTTTTTTAATATAAAAAAATATATATTATTAATATTATATTAAAATATTAAAATAATTTTTATTTATAATATTTTAAAAATTATTTAATAATAATAAATTATTAATTTTATTTTTTAATTTTATTTTTTAATTTTATTTTTTAAATTACTCGTTTATTTAAAAATAATATAACATGTTTATTATAAGTTTAATATTTATTTATACGAAAATATATTATTAAATTTTAAATATAAATTTTAAATTTTTATCCGATATTATTTTTATTAATATTTTTTAATTATAAAATAATATTACGCGGAATAATTATTTAATTTATTATTAAACCGTATAATTAATATTATTTAAAATAAAAATAAGTTTTTTATTAAATTTATAAATTATTATAAAAAATATATTAAAATATTTATAATTTTTTATTATTTATAAATTTATTTTTATTTATATTTTCGGTAATTTAATAATAAAATTTTATATAATAATATAATATAAAATCGTTAAAAAATTTATAAATAATAATTTTCTTTTAAAACTTAATCGATTAATTTAATTTTTTATATATTTTAAATATTAATTAATATATTTTTTAATTTTACGTATTATATTTTATATTTATATATTTATTAATTTATAAAACATTTTTATTAATTTAAAATAATATTTTTCGTTATAAATTATTTCGAATATATTTTTAATATAATTTAAAAAAATTATAAAATATCGAAAACTTATATTAATAATATAATATATTAATTTATTTTTAAATTTATATCGATATTATTTTATTATATTTTTTTAATTTTATTTCGCATTTTTTTAAATTTTTCGCATCCGTTTTAAATATCGGTTATATTAATATCCGTTAATAATTTTTTATTAAAAATTATTTTTAATTTTATTTTATATTATATTTTAAATTATATTTTTTAAAATAAACTTACATTTATTTTATTTTTTTTTTATTATTTATAATTATAATTATTAATAATTTCGAAAAAACATTTAACATTAAATTTAATTTATTTAAAATATAATATATTTATAAATTAAATCACGATAAATATATAAAAATAATCATAAACCGTGGATTTATTTTATTTAAGTTTAATATTTTTAATAAAATTTAATTTATAATATTAATTATTAATTAATAATTTATTATTATTTAAATTAATAATTTATATAATTATAATTAAAT